AGTTCATCAAGTTAATTCTACGGCCATGAACCCATGAAATAATATACAAAATAAACTTTCGTTTGGAAAAAGTTCCTCTTTGCTAACCTTCTTCCAACCGCATAGCAATATTTGATTTCAACACATAATGCTCAATCTTCACAATGGTTTTTCTGTTTTGTCTAGGTGTGACAAATGCAATTTAAATTCATCTGACTATAAGTAAACTCCCAGAGTCAGGATCAAATACTATGGGGAACGAACCGTCAGCCCGACCCCCCCCCCCCCCCCACCCCACTCAGTGTTATTTAGGGTACACATATGCGTGTTCCCTCTTTTTGAAAACACCACCTAAGTCCGGTGTGTAAAGTCATTTTTGTGTATGTACGAGCCGGACTTTGGTGCGTGAAAAGTACCCCTTTACCGGACATTTTAGTAACACGCATGCGATCATTCCGACCCCGGAGTGGGAGGGGGGGGGGGCGTCAGCAACCTATCACCTTCATTAAATGGGAAATCCAACCCAGGTAGACTACTAATCTAAAAGAAAGCAGAAAAATCATAGAAGCAAACTGACGAACGTTTCAATTAAATCTGACTAAATATAAGAAAGTTGTGAATTTTTTAAAGTTGTAATTACTATACATATGGGTACTTCAAATTGGCTGAAGCGGTACTGCCAATGTGATGTATTGTCGGACTACTTTCCCATCTGTTCCAACATATAAAATCACTTTTAAAAAAATAATCTAAATATCATTGCTCAAGAGGGTTTTTTCTCTTTAAAGGACCTATAATCATATTATATCTATAATATATTTTGAGTAGTGCCCCAAGGGAGAAGGAACTTACGAGAAAAACAGAAATTAATGATATTTTTGTACACGGCAAATGGGAGAGTTATCCACATCCTACGTCACAATCACAATCACGCATAATATAACTACCAAATTGAAATTCGCATAGACTTAGTGATCTCATATTTCAAACATTCATAACTTCCTTACTATTGGTCCAATTTATTTCAAACTTTTGCCATTCTGTTTCTGTTACTTTTCTGCTTTCATACAAATCAACTTATTACAAGGGTGCCCTTCAATGAATGTACTTCCTCTCCAGCAGGGATGCAACCTCCAGCAACGATCTTAAAGACCGTCAATACTACTGGGCGGGAAGGGATTAGACCACACAGCGAGGTCACTGACAGGTGGCTATCTCATTGAATCAGCTCTCAACTAACATAAGAAGAAGAGGATCATGGGGGACCAACCGGCACCGATTGGGGAAGTTTTCTATATAGAGGGAGCAAGATACAAGTAGGACAGTAGGGCTTTAAGCAGTCTCTAAAAAGGACATCTTTTCCTCCCTTTTGTAACTGAGTTCCAGTTAATATTATGTTATTCATTAAGATTCTTCTAAAATCCAGTTTTTTCTTCTTCAATTAAACAATGTGTTTAGAATATGTTTGTATTGTCATATTTTCTGGTTTGATTACGTTAGCGTAAGCTTTCCATTGTCATATTAAATGATTTTCTTGTCTTCATCTATAATCCATATCATAAAATTGCATGTAACATAGTACGCGCTATTTATGCCTCCCATTTGTTTTGATTTGATATTTTGCACTCTTCATGATGCAGGAAAACAATCCCATGTATATTTTTAAAATCAAAAGCTACTTAAAAGTAAGCTATATAGATACATATTTTTATTTACAGAGTAATATCTATCAGAAGAAGAAAATATTCTTTACTTTAGATCAATGCACCTATGAACAAGAAATGTGAAGAAATTAATTGTAAGTGCCTGAAATATATAGGATTAAACAAAACATTACAGTAATTTTGATGCAAACCTGTTCACCTTGGTATTATTATCGAGCTAGGCAAATTTCATTTCTAAATTCTTCCTATAAAATGGATTTTTGAAATCTATCATGAAGTCGACAAGTCTCGATTAGTAGCGACTTTTAGATTCGCACGAAGACAATGTGGATTGCTACGGTCGCGACGTCCTTTTAATGCACTGCCTTGAATGGACGTCACACGTATCAGTTCACTGTTCACGCAAATCTAAAAGTCCCTATTATCCCATTAGGACTTGACGTGCGTGCCGTGTATTATTCACTAATTCACTCGCAAACATGAATTGTGTATATAATACTCTTGATTAAACATCAAACTAAGACCCGTTCAGGAGGTGAAATTCAAAATGTTAGGCCGATCATGATTATGTCTATATACTGTCTCTATTCAGGATACACCTACATGTATCAACGTCCCTCACGGCATCCATGTTATATTATATCTCTGATTCTCTCTACTCTCTCTCTCTCTCTCTGTCTGCCTCTCTCTCTCTCTCTCTCTCTTTCTCTCTCTCTCTCTCTTTCTCTGTCTGCCTCTCTATCTCTCTCCCTTTCTCTCTCTATCTCATTGTCTCTGTTTATAATCCCTCTTTCTATATATGCCTTCTCTTCTCTTTCTGTCTCTCCCCCTCTCTCTGTATGCCTGTTTCCGTGTCAGTGCTTTTCCGCCTACGAATCCCTTTCTCCCTCCTTTGAATTCCCTCTCGTCATCTCCCTCCAGGCTTCATGCTCTCCTGCCTAACCCTTGGTCTTATATTATTCATTTATATATCATTCAATATCTTATTTTATTCAACCTTGTTTCTCCTCTTCAATACTCTTTGTCTTCTTTTTTTTTTTTCCTTTTTTTTTTCGTCTTCTTCTACTTCCGTTTCTTCTTCTACTTCCGGTTCTTCTTTTTCTTCTCGTGGGTCTTTCTCTTCTCGTGAGTCTTCCTCCGATTGCCCATTTTCTTATTCTTCTTTTTCTCTCACTTTTTTGATATAAGTACATGTATTAGCTTGCACTTGAACCGAACTTGATTATTGTCATGTTCATTTTTTGTTAATGATATAGTGACGTCAATTATAGCGGCCATTTTCTTTAGATCCCCCCCCCCTCTTTTTAAAAAATATATATTTGCATTTTTGCATTACATATTGCCTTGAGTGGCGGAAATTGCTTTAGAATAATGTATTGCTACACATCACTATGCCTAAAGTATTGATTGCGTGTGGTTTCTCAACACTGCATTCATCAGTTAATGATCACCTACTTATCCTGTTTTCAACAATTATTATACTAATCGAGATACAGAGTAATTGTCTTTTACCCAAACAAAATAGGCACTTGAATACTTTATCAAGAGTTTTGTTGTTGTTTACAAACAAAATAGAGTTACGAAACAATTAAAATAAATCTACCACAGGGTCATATAAAAATAAAAACATGTCTCCTACATACAACAAAACAATGATTATCTTGCCATTGTACCAAATTCCGAAAAAAAGGGAAAGGCTACAATCATTGTGTATGTATACCTTAATTTTTTTTTAAATCTAAAAATGGCGTAATCCCTATATGTGGCACAATATACTATCGAACAGAGTTGTATATATGACTGTAACATAAAACGTACATCAAAATGCAGTAACACTATCTGCAGACTACCGAGCAGAGGGAGACAAATTTAATTACCCTAATACCATAGATGAGTGCAAAAATGTCGCCCTTCGTAGTTTATATAGAGAAAAAATAACACCCCTAAACACCTAACAATAATATTCCCAGATTAGTACTGCACTCACAGACTGCCCATACTGTGGATCAAGGGTTTTAAAAAAACGGCCCCCCCCCCCCTCGCCAAAAATATTAGTGTTCACTTTTTTTCAATTCTCACCAACGACAGATGAAGTGCAGAGAAGTAGGACATTTTGTTATGTCTACCTAATGCTACGGTCACAAAGGTTCGTACGAACGATAATTTCGTACGAATCTCCCTCTTTTTCCATTGTCTTTCCGAATTTTCATTGTCTGAAAATCGTTCGTACGGCGTTCGTAGCAGCTCCATACATTAAAAAAAAAAAAAAAAACAGAAAATGCATTAAATTTTCAATACTTTATTGCACTTTACCCCGGTCATAAAAAAAAAAACATTAAAAAAATCCTCTGGACTGCCATGCATTATGGCCCGAATTCACAAAGGAGACAAACCTAGGTTTATGTGGTTATATTATGACGCGTTTTTACGCGTTTAGACCAAGGAGTGTCTGAACCGAGTTGGTCTGAAACGCATCGAAACGCGTCATACGATGCACATAAACCTCCTTTGTGAATTTGGGCAGAAGAAACATGTTGTAGAGCTCATCAGCTTCATATCTTACCAAAAAAAGAGATAATAATTCCAAACTATCAGTGAGTGGGGGGGGGGGGCGGGGTGCATGGGCACTTGCCGTGGTCCATGTAAGAGAAAGAGAAAGAGAGAATGGAAGAAAGGAAAAAATTGCAAAAGAAAGATGTCTAAGACTTTCTTTGTCCGATATTAAGCAGATACATGAATCTTTCTTGTTTTACAGATGAAGAGTGATGGACTCTGTTAGGGAAGGCTATAGAAGAGAGGGTGTGTGGGGGAGGATATAATATATGACGGTGTAATTCAGCTCGTCGATTAGAAGGCAGAAGTATTTTTTTCCCTCTCGAAGCTCCTTCTTCTTCTTCTTCTTCTTCTTCTTCTTCTTCTTCTTCTTCTCTTCTTCTTCTTCTTCTTCTTCTTCTTCTTCTTCTTCTTCTCTTCTTCTCTTCTTCTTCTTCTTCTTCTTCTTCTTCTTCTTCTTCTTCTTCTTCTTCTTCTTCTTCTTCTTCTTCTTCTTCTTCTTCTTCTACTTCTTCTTCTTCTTCTTCTTCTTCTTCTTCTTCTTTTTTCTTCTTCTTCTTTTTCTTCTTCTTCTTTTCCTTCTTCTTCTTCCTCCTCCATTTTCTTAATTCTCCTTCTCCTTTCCGTCTTCGTTTTATTAATCTTATTCTTCTTTTCCTCCTTCTTCTTCTTAATCTTCTTCTTCTCTTCTCATCTATTCTTCTTTTCCTATACCCGGGTCCTATACTCGCATCTCCTATGTCTTGTATATTAAGCTGATATAATACCACGATATACCGCTTCGTGATAACATTCCGTCTGCGTCGTAGACTACGTATTCGCAGACTCGTCGCATCGAATCGTTTCACAACTGAGAACAAAATATGAAAGATTGATCGAAAATCACGTAATATTTTCGTATGAGGTAAGTTATTCTCCTCAAAATGTAATCGCTCTTGCTTTGCATCACTTATAAATATGTTGTACAGCCGATTTTCATCCACATGATGCTCTGAATTGTTTGAAAAAGAAATCGATTTCCCATAACGGTCCCACTCGCTTGAATTAATGTTGGTTCTGTGGGGATCTGTCTGTTGTTGTGTCGTGTAATATGTTCGGTGGTGAAAAATTGCAGAAATGATTATCCTATCACACGATTTATTGTCTCATTATCTGGCTATAGAAGTATCATCGTGGTTTATGAATTTACACTCACTGCCATAAATTCTTGGGAAAGAAGACCTGTGGTGGACGATTTGGCGAACTAACTATAGTTGCCCAAGACCCATAGTAATGACACCATGCACTGTAAATTTGGTTATAGACTGTAGCAGGCAAGGTTCAATCTGCAATTTTAATAGAAAGATAAACAACAATAAATCATCTTGCATAAACTGACATGAAAATAACATATCATGTATCAAATTAAATATACCCTGAAAATCCTAATAACTGTTATCATAACAAAGGAAAACAAACAATGCCTTTCTCACTATATATCTGACTACGGTAAATACATGCAACAAATAATAACTCACCGACGGTGACTTTGACATTCTTCAAGGTCATATCATTATACTACTACGTACATGTACATTAAGACGCACTACCGTGCACGACAATTACGTAACCTACATACACGTGTACAATCTTTCACTTGAACGATTCATTCATGTCATATTTCATCATCTCAAATTAGAGTCATAAACATCATATTTCATTAAGCTATCTAGCTGTAAAGACAATATAACTCATAAACTTCAAGATAACATATTCATTTCTACTTACATCATTGGGCTTGTATCACAAAATTAAACGAAAACTTAGGCAACTCTGGGAGGCAACTATCCCATGACGTGGAAAATCAGTAACACACAAAATCCAGTACGCCCTCAAGCGACCTAATCCATACACTTTTCTACAAAGCGACGCCTGTGACATCACAAGCATCGGCTTCAAGCAAAACGTCATCCTGTACTCCACATTCCGGCCCTCTTAAATGAGAAGCCTTTCTGAACATTTAACAATACTTTGTTCATTTGAAACATTTCAAAATTAAGTCTATCCACAATTGCTACTCGCAATAAATCATTGTTCCTTTAAATTCTTCAACTTCTTATACTGTTCAAGTGACCTTTTTTTTCTTCACACCTTTAAATAACTAATCACCCTTAACCTATTCAATGATCTTGACCATTAATATCAACATAAAATATCTGAAGAGTTTCTTTTCAGCAAACTACTAAGTAATTTCAAAAGCTTTGACATTTTGCATAAAATGCCCCAAGTGTATATCAAATGCACTACATAAAGCAAATATCCTTCTCAACATCACCATGACAACCCTATCAGAACTCCCAACATTCCTTGTCAGAATTTAGAATCATTTTGGTAAACATCGACGACTCCAAAGATAACTGTAAGCAACCACGCTGCTTCCTCACTATAATTCCCGACACCAGGAATGACACTAAAAATGTTTTAATCCAAAACTAAATCCTCCTACTGACTCAGACGATGGGAGATCTGAAAGAGAAGTGTCAAGTTAAACATACAACCAACAACTTGACTGTACCGTAAACACACATTTTATGTTTGTAAGTAACTTTCTACTCGAGCTTCACATGAAGAGCTGAACTCTTGACCTTTCCTATTTTAATACCCTTTGTATTTGTAACACTGTACTAAAAGGCAAACTACATGTATACTGCATGTGCCTTGACATGAGGAATGATAAATTTCCAAATATGCTTAATTCCTGATAATCAGGCATACTTTCAAATAAAATTTGCATATATTGCATTAATCAACATGACAACTAGTAGAACCTTTCTACACACAACTCACATTTTCTGTGTCAGAATATGAAATAATCTTTTACAACTTTACCACTATACTACCAAGAAAATGATATGCAAACCAATTCTGGAATAGATTCCATCTTAAACCAGAATGTTAAATGAAGCAATACATTTACATAATTGTATATACAGTAATCTGATAATCACTGAAGCTACAACTGCACATTTACTGCAACTTAAATGCTGCTAAATGCCATGTTTACATTTTACACTGGAAAAATAACAAATCGTGTGAAAATTTGCAAATTACTCCATAATTTCAAGTGTAATACAGTAATGTTTATTAGTTCATGAGTCTTTGAATTGCAAACAGTCATTTTTCTATAAATGTATCAGTTTATGTCTTCTTCTTGTAAGCCGTTCAGTTTCTCAATTCTCAGTTATCAGTTACTGTTGAGTTGCTATGGCGACTAAATCTGAATCGTCGGAGAGTTCCAGATCACTAGACGATTCATAACTCAACAAAAATCTATCCTCGCGTTGAATACAAATTGTCACATTTTGACACTTTCATGTAAAATAAATGTTGGCGATATCATGACAACACATTTCATGATTATAACATTTCTGCGCTAATTGGATCCTTCTGATTTCCAATCATAAATCACTGACACAACGATCTCCATATGATCATATCTCTGCGAAGAAATCCTCTGAAACACAAAATTTTCCTTGATCACAAAATTTATATATCTCAAATTTCTCCTTCTTATCATATGATTAAACATCACATGATCCATGAATTCCAAATGAGGGCAATTAACAATCTCCTTCCAAAATCAGGCACAATTTCGAGATAGGACGAACAATTACGCTATTCTTCGTCTTGATGTTTGCACTACGGGTGAAGCCTTTCTTGTCTGGGAAAGTTTGAAGTACTCTTCCCAGCAGCCACGAGTTCCGCGGAGTGTTTGCATCGGCAACCAGCACCAAGTCACCAATCTGAAGATTGCGATGCGATGGTACCCATCTTTCTCTTCTTTGCAACTGCGGTAAGTACTCTCTAGACCAGCGCCTCCAGAATACGTCGGCGAGATACTGTATTTGACGCCACCTCCTTCTCGAGTATACATCTGATCTGTCTGTCACTGTTGGTGGCAGTTGCGGCTTCCTGTTCAGCAGAAGTAGGTGATTGGGAGTCAAGGCCTCAAGATCATTGACATCATCTGATACACTTGTTAGAGGCCTGTTGTTGACGATGCTCTCAATTTCGCAGAAGAGAGTTGTCAGACTTTCACCTGAGAGCACCTGTTGCTTAGTTACTGCCAGTATGAGCTTTCTCACAGTCCCAATCTGCCTTTCCCAGACTCCTCCAAAATGGGAAGCAGTGGGTGGGTTGAAAGTCCATTTGATGCCTTTCTGGAGCAGGTCTGCGCTGATTTGAGCTTTGTTCCATCCATCTATTTCTCTTTTCAGCTCTCTCTCAGCGCCCACAAGATTAGTGCCATTATCTGAGAGCATCTCCTTGATATTGCCCCTGCGAGCGATGAAACGACGAATGGCACTGATACAAGAGTCCGTATCCAGAGAATGAGCGACTTCCAAATGAATGGCGCGTGTGGTAAGACATGTAAACATGACTCCATATCTCTTCTCCATGCTGCGACCCCTTTTAACCTCAAAGGGGCCGAAATAGTCAATGCCAACCTTGGAAAATGGAGGCTCGTCAGGTAACAGTCTATTCTCAGTCAGGTCAGCCATCTTCTGACTCATCATCTTCCCTCTTTGCCGCCTGCACATGACACATCTGCTAATCATGCTCCTGATAGCTGCTCCTGCTCCAAGCATCCAATACTTCTCACGGAGCACAGAAAGGACATAATTTCTTCCACTATGCCCTGCCTTTACATGAACATCTCTCAAGATCAGATCTGACACGTGACTTCCCTTGGGTAAGACGACTGGGTGTTTAGCTTCTAATGGTAGAGCTGATCTCTCTAATCTTCCTCCAACTCTAACAAGACCCTCGACTATCTTAGGGTCCAGCTTGTAGAGTTGACTTGTCTTTGTCACTTTACCATCTGAATCGGTCAATGATTCAATCTCCTTCTGGAAGAAACATTTTTGCACGTAATGCAAAATTCTCTTCTCTGCTTTCTGCATGTCGTCATAACTGATCCTTTTGAAGTCCCTCAGCTCTTGCTCTGTCTGGGTTTTTCCTTTGAGTTTCAACCACTGCATGAACTTCAATAGCCAGCTCACTCCCCTCCTCAGCTTATACCAGGAGGAATATGTGTTGATAAGCCTTTCCAATGACTTCTCCTCTGACTGAGTTGTGAATGCACTGGCATTTTCTGTAGGTGGTTTGATTTCTGGATCACTTGGTGGCACTTGCAGATCAGCTGGAGCGATAGGCCATTCCATCTCATCAGCACATAGGAAGGATGGTCCCTTGAGCCATCTGCCATTGAGCTTGTCTGGCGTTAGACCTCTTGATACATCATCAGCTGGATTCTTTTCTGTGTTGACATATCTCCACTGCCTGGGCTCCGAGGCATCACGGATGGTAGATATCCTGTTAGCCACAAATGTCCGAAAGCGCTTGTTGTCACTGCGGATGTAATGGAGGACTATTGTGCTATCTGTCCAAAAGACAGACTCATTCAAGGGAAAGTCCAGCTCCTTTCTGATCTTTCTATCCATTGTGACTGCAAGTGCTGCCGCCATGAGCTCTAAGCGAGGTATTGTCATCTTCTTCAGAGGTGCTAATTTTGCTTTAGCCAGAATTATGTTGCAATGGACTTGTCCTCCTTCACTGGTCATGCGCAGGTAAGACACTACACCGTACGCCGACTCAGATGCATCACAGAAATGATGCAGTTGGTACTCGTTCACATCATCAAAGGGTCTGAAACACCTGCTCACTCTGAAGTTGCTCATTAAGGGAAGCCATTGTTTCCATTTTAGCCACCTGGAATGGTGTTCATCTGGAACTGGGTCATCAAATCCAAGCTTCAGAGCAGTTAGATCCTGGAGGATTCTCTTGGCAACCAAGACGAATGGACTGGCATATCCATAGGGGTCATATATTGATGCTATCTCACTCAGAATTCCCCTCCTCGTTACTGGTTTGCCCTTGGGGGTGATCTTATAGGTGATGCAGTCCAGTTCTACATCCCATGTTACTCCAAGTGCCCTTTCTGCTGGTAAGGCATCCCGATTCAAATCGAGTCCCACAATGTTTTTAGCTCGATCTTCCAAAGGTACAGACTTGATCACAGCTGGGCTGTTGCTTATCCACTTGGTCACTTCGAATCCACCCCTCTTGAGCAGCGTCATGAGTTCAGCTACAAGCTTGATTGCATCATCTTCTGTTTTGCATGAGACGAGACAGTCATCTACATAGAAGTTACGACCGACAGCATCCACTGCTTCTGGAGAATATTCGGTCTTGAATTCTTCAGCTGTATGTCTAAGAGCAAAACTACAAACACTTGGGCTCCATGTCCCACCAAATAAGTGAACACACATCCTGTAAGCCTTAGGATGTTGGATAAGATCTCCTTCTGGCCACCACAGGAAGCGAAGAAAGTCTCTCTGCTCTGGTGGGACTCTAACTTGGTGAAACATTGCCCTTATGTCTCCCATAATGGCTATGTTGAACTGATGTGGTGGACGATTTGGCGAACTAACTATAGTTGCCCAAGACCCATAGTAATGACACCATGCACTGTAATTTGGTTATAGACTGTAGCAGGCAAGGTTCAATCTGCAATTTTAATAGAAAGATAAACAACAATAAATCATCTTGCATAAACTGACATGAAAATAACATATCATGTATCAAATTAAATATACCCTGAAAATCCTAATAACTGTTATCATAACAAAGGAAAACAAACAATGCCTTTCTCACTATATATCTGACTACGGTAAATACATGCAACAAATAATAACTCACCGACGGTGACTTTGACATTCTTCAAGGTCATATCATTATACTACTACGTACATGTACATTAAGACGCACTACCGTGCACGACAATTACGTAACCTACATACACGTGTACAATCTTTCACTTGAACGATTCATTCATGTCATATTTCATCATCTCAAATTAGAGTCATAAACATCATATTTCATTAAGCTATCTAGCTGTAAAGACAATATAACTCATAAACTTCAAGATAACATATTCATTTCTACTTACATCATTGGGCTTGTATCACAAAATTAAACGAAAACTTAGGCAACTCTGGGAGGCAACTATCCCATGACGTGGAAAATCAGTAACACACAAAATCCAGTACGCCCTCAAGCGACCTAATCCATACACTTTTCTACAAAGCGACGCCTGTGACATCACAAGCATCGGCTTCAAGCAAAACGTCATCCTGTACTCCACAAGACCCATTTCTGTATGATTTCATTTAGATCTAGACTAGACCCTAGTCTAGATCTAGTCTCTAGGTCTATGTGACTAAAAAAATAAAAATTGTGGGATTACATTGTATCTTATATCATTGGAAAGGGCTTGAAAAACCATTTAAAATGGTATATAAACCATAGCTCTAGGACAAATATTTAGCGAGTTATGATTTTTTTAAGATTAAAAATCTGATTTAATTATCGCCATTGTTTTACCATTGAGACCTCTCAAAATCTGTGACCGACCATGACCAATATAAAGGATGGTCTTATCAAAAATGTAAAAATTATTCATTTTTCTAGATAAAACCTTAAGGAAAGAACATGTGATAGGGGAAGAAAACCAATATTGTATTATTTGATGTACTATAGACCCTTCTATAATTAATTAGTAATTAGCAATTAGCAAATTAATTAGCTAATTAGTCGTTAATGAACTCACTGCCACAAAAAGACAGACAAATTTCCGTAATTTCCTGACAATCAATTTTGAGGAAGTAAAAAAACAATGATTGTATGTTCCGATTTGATTTATATTCATCAAGTAACGAGAAAAATGTATAAATAAACGAATTAAATTAGTTTTAGAACTATTAAAACTTATCTTCATGGAAGATTACGATGGTAAAGATGACATTGAACTTTGACTTGAACAAAAATGCACTTTCACATGTCCGTTTCTGAAAATTCGAAGTCGAGGCAAAAGGAAATTTTTCCAATGATGTCATCAGACAAGCAAGCTAAATCTGGCGAGAAACCGCCGTTTCCACACGCAATCAAAGAGGAACCCTGCAGAGTAACTCGTATTGAGCGTGAAACCGCTGCCGGGCACGCTGAAACCAAGCCAATGTGCGCGATAGTCACATACCTATAATTGAACTTGAAGGAATCTTGACTCTTGACTTGTCATTTTCTAGATCTATATTTTGACGAAATTATGTAAAGAAGTACTAGACTGGACGAGCATGGAACGCCCTCGACCAGTAGTCTGTAATAGCCACATCTGTTGAGAATTCCAGAAACACACTTTAGCATGCATCACCTGCCATACAAGTTAGCGACATGCGGAATACCGCCCTGCTGACTCCAAATTCAGAAGGTTCAGAAGTAAGACTCTAGTAGGCCTTGATCTAGATCTAATTACAATTTTGACTTAGACTACAATGTTTTTCGACTCCTCTGGGCATCCGTTCAACCACTTGAAATTATAAGTTGAAGAAGGGTGATTCCCTATCCTAACTCAATTCATCCCACTGAAGACTTCTTCAAAGTCAAGACTGCATGCTGCACCGAGATAATTGTGATTTCCCATTTCACAAAAATGCTCTCAATTCTCATGTTTAGGTGGGGTAGGTTTCAAGGAGAAGAAGAAGGATCATGACGTCGACGGACAACTCACAGTTAGCTGCCTCTCACAGGAGGGCGCTCTTGGTTGCCGTGGCAGCGACCTGTAGCGAAGCAGGCTTCACAACGGGAGATGAAGACTGCCTGGAGACGCTGGCAGAAATCATGCAAAGCTGTGAGTCAGTTATACAGAGACAGTCTCTCGCCAGTATAGAGGTGCACGGCCGAATTGGGGGACTCTCCCATTTTAAAGACTGTCTCCTACTGGAGATTTAGCTTTCAAAATAACAAGGCAATTTTCCCCAGCCTCTTTATTGCCTCTGTGAGGTCAGGATCCCATTGTTTTTTTGCTTGGCTCATTTTCAAAAGTAGGCTGAAATTTTGAAGTAGACATCTTACCTGGTAGGATTCAAACGTTTAAGTAGTTGTATGAGCATGTTTGTGCTTGTGCAATGTCAATGCGACCTGGCTTTAATGCTCTAGTACAGGGAGTGGAGCATTTGCCATGTCACGTGCGGATTAGCAATTGAATCCAATCCAAATATTCATGTAATATACAATTTTTCCCTCTTTTTATTGTTACACAGCCACCTTAACAGACTGATAATTTATGATGATATATTTTAAAGTTTTCTGTTACAAAAATATGTTCATTTCATATTGGCAATCTAGAGTAATGATTTAATATCACTTTTAATGTACTTGTTTTTATATGTAAAGGCATGCAGAATCTATGAAATATTTTGCACTGTTTTGAACTGTATTTTTCATAAGTTTCTTGAATCCTTTTTCATATTTTTCCTCCAGATATCACAGAGTTAGGACAGAGCAGCCGAGCGTACTGTGAGCTTGCTTGTCGCTCGTTGCCGATGGTTACTGATATCGGCATGGCGATGTCTCAATCGGGAGTGGATGCCTCAGAACTCAAGCAATTCGCTCGCAGGAAAAATAAGATCATCATTCCTAAACGTAAGGCCCATTTACTTATATTGTGTATGGGGGGGGGGGGGAGAAGAGAACAGAAAGAGAAAGGGGGTAAGAAGAGACAGGGAAAGGAGATAGAGAGAGAGAGAGAGAGAGAGAGAACAACAAAGAAAGTAAGTGAAGAAAAAGGGATTAATAGAGAGAGAGAGAGTAAGATTAAAAAAAAATATAGAGAAAGAGAGTGATATAGAGCAAGATAGAGAAAGAAAAAATAGAGAATAAGATAGAGAAAGAGAACAAAGAAGCAGAGTAAGAGAGAGAAAAAGAATGAAAGTGAAAAATGGAAGAGGAGAAATCTTTGAGAGAAAGAGAGAGGGAAAGAATGAAAGAAAGATAAAATGTACACAAGAAAGATGTCCAAGACTTTCTTTAAAAGTGCATGAATCTTTTTTGTCTTACAGAGTGCACATGACGTTATTAGATTTAGGACAAAGGTCAAATTCTCTCTTTCTTATATTGCAGAGGACAGACTGCGTCCGACCTCTGACCCATCAGGTCTGCAAGTAGGTCAACGTAACAAACATCCCTCATACATCTATGATCATCTTCCGGCATTCCCAGACTCGCATACATACATCCAGACTCCGGTAAGCAACCTACCATGCCTCACACTGCCTACGAATAAGGGAGTTTACAGATAGCACATGGTACAAATGACCCCACATATCCACATAATGTTTTACACATGGAGAAGTTCCACTTTGAGCATCTTAGAATAATAACTGCCAAAGTCCTAGATGTGCTTCATGAATACCTTTTGTTTGCCCTCTTGAAAAGAATACTTCCACCTACGTATCTTAGAATGTACCGTTGGTGCATAAATGAATAATGTTACATAACTTTCATGAGCGCATATCCAGTATTCATCTCTGGTGGGTTTTACCTTTTTGGTACAAATGACCTTTATCTGCCCATGCGCAGATTGTATCTGTAAACTCCCTTATTGACGTCAAATGCTTTATCAAAGCCACGTAGCTGTATTACATTTTTCGAGGGGCGTAACCCAGCAAGCGTGAGAACTGTGAAAATGGATGGTTATTATCATTTTTTGGTAAATTTAGAGATTTTCTGAAAAATCAGAGGCTGGAATATTAATAAGTAGAGGTGTATTCATTTTATGAAAGGCTATGTTAGTTGGGTTAGAGTGGCCCTTTAATCAATGGAACATGTGGCAAAAGAAAAAGCAGTGTTGCCAATTAACAATTTGAATATAAGGAAATAAAGTTATTTGAATTTCATCCATGGGGGATGTTAAATCATAATGTGATATGCGCTATACAGGGACAGCATATTATTACCATTCCCATTTTCTGTCTGACAGACCTTCAAGCCTCAAGACAATGATTATAAGACGGTCCGAGAGAAGGCTGCCTCACAGCGCCGTGATGTCGAGAGAGCCTTGACGAGATTCATTGCTAAAACGGGAGATAACCAAACGCTCTTCCCCGGTGACAGCAACCTCTTTCCATGTAAGTAGATGATGTCTTTTGGCAAGGTATTAATCTTTATTTGCCACTCCATACTCAGGAGAGAAATGGGGATCTGGTAGGATGATGCCATGTCGTAAAGGCCAATGTGAATGAAAGTTACAATATGTATTACCGGTAAACAGAAAAGGGCTAATTTGTACATGAAATTAGTGATGACAGATTCCTCTCTGTGTTGCCAATTTAATCTCTCATTTTTCCCCCTGCAGTGATAGCCTGTACCCCTTCACCCGTACCGTACCTTGACGCCCTCATACCTTCAGAGCATGACGTCCTGGAGGAACCCGAAGAAAACCAAACTCTAGAGGGCGACATGAAATCGGCGGACGAGAGTGAGGAGAAGCGAGATTCTGGAGATGCTGAAGGAAAACCGAAAGGTACGGAAGACGATGGAGGATCAACGCCAGCGAAGAGACGGCATGACCCAGAGGTCATTGATAATCCGTTCCTACGGGAACCAAAACGTCCGCGGTACAAGAAAAAGAAGTGATCCATTACTTGCTAGGACAATTGAGATGGACTCTGTACATGTAACTTTTATGTCCAAGAAATTAAGGAAGAGGACAGCATGAATATTTTGAAACATGGCTAAAACATCGTAGAGGTGTCATGGTCGAGTGGATATGTCACTGTACTGCAGATCACAAGGTACAGGGTTCGAGTCCTGCGCGGCACTAATGTCCTTTGTACAGACATTAATCTACATTTGCCACTCTCCACCCATGTGTTGAATGGGTACCCGGTAGGATGCGAAAGTTAATGTGGTTAGATGAGTGTGCGTTTAAATGACGTCTGGCTGGAATGCTCCCCAGGGAGTGGAAATGTGCATATATTGTGTGCAGGTAAGCCTGAATTTGATGACCGGGGTAATAATAGATCTGTAAAGCGCTTTGAGAGGGCCTGCGGTCCTGTAAAGCGCTATATTAGAAAGAACTATTAATATCATTCCAGGCACAAGACAACAAAGTGATTGACAGTGTGAGAGCTAGGACAGTTGGCAGTCTCCATCTGCATTGTGATGTCATAATTCGCTGACACCAGACTTGTGTAAATACCATTGATGGGTGTACAAGTCTTGCACACAGCGAACCCGTGGTCCCATCGAGAAATACCCCCTAGTCTCTTCGGAAGTCATCGGGTGATGGAAATGTCAGATAATGACTTTAATACCATATGGGGGAATGGGTGGAAAAGGCAGAGTATTGTTGGTCATAAAACTGAAGACAAATCCTTGTAGTTGACAACACCCTTTATTGAGCTATCGTGCCTCCTGTGTGCATTACGTAATCCTTTCGGGAAAAGTGAAGTCCATACTCTGTGTGGGACATCACCTGTGATCGGGTGGATACCTAAATGGTGTCGTAGTCTTCTTGAGAACCCCAATACAGTGAAACTTCAGTATAACAAGGTCCTTGGGACCCTGGAAATTGACTTGTTATATCAGAACAAAATATATAATGAGCTTCGGCCAGTAAAATCACCTTGTTATAACAGATACCTCGTTATATTAGAGCTCTTTATAATGAGGTACAGGGGGAAAAATACACAGGGGCTCGGGGCGAAGTAGCCCCCGAAATGCCAGAAAGAACCCCCGAAAGTGAAAAAAGAGCCCCCCCAAAAGTTCAATGCAAAACAAAATACAGAGTGTTATTTTCATGCAAGCAAGCTTGAAAAGTAGCCCCCAAAATTTGTAGAGTATTTTTTCCCTGATGAGGTTCCACTGTACATTGTACTATGTGTATATTTAATACCCAAGGTATAGAAGATAGAGGGGTCAGCCGACTAGATTGATTGAAACCTTGCCAGAGCTACTTTGTAACGGTGTGAATAAACAGCAGTAATTAAAGACGTCTTTTTTAAACAAAATGATGGCCCTTGAAGATACTCTTGTGTTGTGACATGCCTCTTTTATTTTCATTATGTTAACAGTGTTTAAAGTGTACCGATCACCTCAAAATATAAGAATGAATAACATCAACCCTCCAAAAAAAACAGTCTTGCATTTTATGTGCTAAATGATAAGAAGTATGAAGAAAATAAAAACCATAAAACGGCGGGTACGTAACCCAAGTTGGACTCGGATTCAGTGCCTACCCATTCTACTGTGAGCACATAAAGCAACGCAAACAACTATTCCACCGGGTAGTTACTAGTCGCTTTTGTGTCTAGTGAGAGTGTAGTTGAACTTGTAATATCTCTTTATAGAAGTATTATTTGAAGCTCGTCTTTTGACCTTGAACCATTAATACATAGAGCTATATATTTACAGGTGATTGGTACACTTTAATAAGTAGGGCCTGCTCATGGACCGCTTTAGGGAAAGGATTTAGGCTAATATAATGTAAAGGTAAATAAAAAGGAATGGGAGACGGAGGGAGAATGTAGAAGGGGGAGATGCAAAGATAGAATAGAGGGTACAGTATCGAGAGAGAGAAAGAGAGAAGGGGAGAAATAGAAAGAAAAGAGTCAATATGGAACAAGAGATGAAGTTGTGGTCACTCTTTGAAAGCATATAACTCTGTGATCTCTGTCTCCAACACTTATTTGTCTCCCTCCCCCCTTCTCTTTCACTTTTTTTTATTTTTTTATCTCTCTCTCCCTCTCTATCTGTCTTTGGCTGTTTGTCTCTGTCTTTCCATCTGCGTGTCTGTCTGTCTCTCTATCTGCCTCTCTCTCTCTCTCTGTCTGCCTGTCTGTCTCTCTCTTTCTCTCCCCTTCCATCTGTACTGTAATATCTTTAACAATGACAATGATACATGTAATGAGCAGAATGCCAATAATGCAGTATTTCAGTAACACAAGACAAACATAGACATACACATACTAATCAGCTAGCCTCACACACCCATGGATCTCCTGTACATTCAACATATTCATCAAAGAAATAACATAGAAATGAAAACATCTGAAATTTTGTTTAGCTTGCGGAAGCATACACACCATATGTCAAATACTTTTATTTTCCTTTTAAAACTCCATATATAGACATTCTCAAACAAACTTAATAATAAATACAACATTCCTGGATATAAAAAAATATGATAATAATTTATAGATTTCTTGTATTTTAATGTACAGGTGTCGCAGCGCATATCAATATCGACATAATAAACAGTAATCTTAGAACTATGTTTTGTCTTATACTATACATGTATAATTGTATATATGTTTTAAAAAATTATATTTCCCAGACATCTTTCAGTCAAAGAAAGATTTTTCTATTCTCCTCAGGAAGATTTCTACAACTTCCAGTCACATAATACAGATGATGATAATTAATGATAACTAAACTATACAATCGTGTGCAGAAAAGGCAATGGATACGTGACAATTTATGCTCGATGATAAATAAAACTGGTTGGAGTCATGACGAGTTTCAACTATCGATTATTTAATCTATGATCAGGATCAGGGCTGAAATATACGGAACAGAAACTAAATTTGCTTTCATCATGACACCAATCAGAGTTTTATTTCTAGCCTTCTGTCTGTGTATCATTTGAAGCAACTATGGAATCATTAGCATATTCATAGCTAATTTATTTGTTATCATTATTGGTAATATGTGACAGGTATGTGACAGAGTTTAGAATATAGACTAATCCCAACTATTCTACATGGTGATGGTGACGTTTTAAAGGGAACCAAAACCTTCATAATATGTTACTTTTATTGTAAAGTTTAAGATATTTGAATAAAATCAGTGAAAATTTGAACAAAATCGGGCAAGGAATAAGGAAGTTAAAGCTTTTTGAAATGACTAGTCACTAGAGGGCGATATTTAATTTGATGCGTCATTTGTGGACAACCTTTTGTACTTCAAATTTCACAATTCTTTTGTTTTCTTCGTATTTATTTGTGTTCTTGATCTGACTTCATAACATGTGAAGTAGAATATCATTTTGCATTCTATACCTTGCTTTCAGGGGTGTAGATTATCTCAATCACAAGAAAGAAAAAACATGAAATTTGAAGTACAAAAGGCATAGAGTTATCCACAAATGACTAGTCATTTCAAAAAGCTTCAACTTCCTTATTCCTTGCCCGATTTTGTTCAAATTGTCACTGATTTTAATCAAATATCTTAAACTTTACAATAAAAGTAACTTAGTATGAAGGTTTTGGTTCCCTTTAAAGGTTGGTCCTTAGATGATTGATACACGTCTGTAAAAACCAAATTACACACACATGTATGTACTGTCACTGCTTGGTAACTTGTATGCAGTCAACAACTGAATTATTCATATCCCTTGTAAATATGATGTTTTATAGGGTGTTTTTCTTAACTCAAGAAAGACAGGTGGAATGGTTAAATTAGGGCCTTTTTAGAATACTTCTAGACATAAGCATTAATATGTCCCATTCTCAAGAAGCAATTTTAAACATAATTACAAATTTTCAAAAAATTAGTAAGGGTATGAATAATTTAGTTGATAACTGCATACCGGTACTCCTTCTAACAACGCCTCATAGATAGCATCTCAAAGTGTTTGTATCCAATGGAAAAAGGTACTGTATGTAAATTGCAACAATTATCATAATGCATTGGACTCTATAATCATATGATGAGAGAAATATAGAACTTGGATAGATGATTTTGAGTACTCGTTAAGTCGGTGCTCCAGTGAAGAGTATGCAATGTAAGAGAGTAAATCAGGGACCCGTTTCATAATGCCTTTTTTCAATGACAAATGACAAAAATCAGTGACAAATCTAGCTGATAACCAATCAGAAGCAAGGATTTCACTAGCTAATAACAAAAAATGTAATTTGTCACTGATGACAAGTTTTGTATAATGGGGCCCAGGAGTATTATGTTCCCACTCTATAAACCTTTTAATTCCTTGTCGGGTAAAATCATTGCCGGCCCAATGTGAACATACATGTACGTATTATACAATACCTACACGTATAACACCATGATAAATACACAACCATCTGCTGGAAACACAAGCACTTTTGAGAAATGATCACTTAACCATTCTGATGTGCTAACAGCCTTTAAAAAGATTCCTGAGATGGCAAATATAATCATTTAATAATAGTTTTTCTTTCTTGACTACATTCACAAAACCAAAGGAATACCGCATCTTTGAGCATCTAAACAACGTAATAAAACAGTGCAAGTGCTATATATATTTTTTCGCTACAACATTGATGACGTAAATTATCCTGGAAAATGTGGCCATAAAACTCGCCTTTCTAAGATTCCTTTTTTAAAATAATTTTTAATCACCAGGGCCCTGTTTCATATAACAAATGCTAAATTTCTATACCAAATTTTTTCTCAGCCAATCAAATGCCACGATTTCAGTAGCTTATAACAGTTCTTGTAACTCGTTATTGATAACAAGTTTTGTCAAACAGGGACCATATCAATGTGTATGACTAGATTACATGGCAAGATGATGGGTTGTTAGTTGTTACACCACTATCAAAAAATAATTTAGAAGAAACAACAAATATGAAATAAAGAGATCATTTAAAGTTTTAAAAAAATAAAGACAGAACAAAATAAATATACAGTAGGATTGCGGATGCACCATATGAGAGAGAGAGGATTGAGGACACAATAAGAAGAGTTGAAAGAATCCTAAGATCAATTAAAAACAAAAAACTTACAGAGAAAACAGACCGCATGAGGAAAATGGATAGGAGAATGAAAGATAGAGAGACAACAGAGAGAGGAGGAAGAGAGAAAGAGAGAAGAAGACACCGGAGATAGAGAGAAAGATCAAATAACAGATATAAAAATGAGGAGATATAGAGAAAAGTACTGCACATTTAAAAGTTAAACATTATATAAAAATAATCAAAGTTTAAATTTTGCAACCCACCCTCCTCTAAATCCCTGAAATCAATCGTTTTTATCCTCAATCTGTAGTTTAATTGGTAAGTTGAGAGAGAGACAGAGGGAGCGCGACTTGCGCGCGAGAGAGAGATAGGAGAGAGAGAGAGGGAGAGGAGAGAGCTGAAGACCAGTGATAGTACTGCACAATGTAACCTTGGATACCAATGTAATTCTCTTACATCTCTTCCACCAATCGTCTCCCCTCCTCTATCTCCGGGATGCCGTCCAGTGAGTCTGACGTCAACCATAGATACGCATCAAGCATGTCATCCAAGCAATTACAGATGAACCTGATAAAGGGTCTTATATCCCCGGCATTAGCCTGGATGATGGTCTCGTAATACTGCCCTCTTTGCGAGAGCTTGACTATGACTGGTGGGTACCCCGCCCGCAGCAGGATTAGATTCATCAATAGCCGCGACGTCCTTCCATTCCCATCAATAAAGGGATGGATGTAGATGAATTTATAGTGCGCCAGCGCAGCGAATTCGACCGGGTGCAGGGATGCGGCTTCTTCCGAGTTCATCCAGTCCACAAAATCCTCCATGAGGTCGTTGACCTCCACCGACGGGGGCGGGATGTACCCTCCCACGAAAACCTGCGTGGTGCGGAGGTTCCCCGCCGTTATGGGATCGACGTGCCCTAGGACGCGCTTGTGGATCTGGAGGATGTCATTGACGGTAATCTTCCCGAAGCGATGCTGGAGGGTGTCGTTGATGAACTGCAGAGCGAGGTTCAGGCCTAGGACCTCGTTGTGTTCCATGATGCTCTTCCCGCCGATGGCCAACCCGGTCTCCATGATGGAACGCATCTGCTCCAAGGAGAGGGTGTTCCCCTCGATGGCGGTGGTGTGGTAGATCTGCAGGTAGAGGAACTCCTCCTGGGCGCGCTGAAGGGCGCGGCTGTTCTCAGAGATCTGCTGACCCATCTGTAATTGCTTGTCGTCCACCTTCGCAAACATACCCTTGTCGATCTCAGCTACGGCTGCTGATGTTCTCTCCCTGCACAATTAGAAAAATGAATAAAACATTTGTGAAAGCAGTATAGAAAGCTGTTGTCGTTTTTTTATCTTAACAAAATTAGTGTGGAGACAAATCCATTGTAGGCTACTGCTGCAGATGTTCTCTCCCTGCACAAAAAAATGAATAAAAACATAAAGTGACACCGTTATAGAAAGTTGTTTTTTTTATCTTACAATTCGGATCTCCTTTGAACAGAATCAGTGGAGTCAAATCCGTTGTAGGTGAACTCATCATCATCACTGATTTAGCAGGTGTTTTTACGCTGTATGCTTGGATGTTTCATTTCCCTTATGGCCATTCCCCAAGCCTGTTGGTCTTCAGCGTCTGTCTGGGTGAGGCAAAATGCTCTCATATCTTCTTCTTGTGTTTCCTTCCAAGTTTTGGCTAGGCCTGCCTCACCATTTCTTGTTTTCTGTAGCCAATGACTTTTTACTCTCCTAACCACCACCACCACCTACATGTACCATCTCAATCTACTCATCCCACGGATGCCAGTTAGAATTGATCAGAGTGCCTGAAAATCACCTAGAATTAGCTATTTTGTACGCAAAACGCCTAAAATATGGTCTGAAAATAACTTGCCAGGGCCTGATTTCAGGCTATTGCCCGAAAAATGGCATCCCTGTCATTCTTATAGTGTGTCTCCTGACTTAAGATTTTTGTCAGTCTTACGAATAAGAGATCTTCATTCTTCTATCTGTTATATAGAGAGGTTTCGCACATCTATCTAATCTTCTTTTCTCTGATGTATATAAGGCCGTCTGGACTAGTTTAGCTAGAGGGAACAGACCTCCCTGCAAGGTCACTAACAGGTGGTTATCTCATCAAATCAGCTCTCAATTAACATAAGAAAAAGAGGATCATTGGGGACCAATGGTCACCAATTAGGCATTGATCACTATATAGAGGGCGCAAGTAGCTATCAATAGTACAGTGGGGCTTTAGGGAGACGCTACTTACCTGTTTGTAAGAGCTCTGGAATGAGAGTTGTTTGCGATGAGAGCACAGGAGTACAGATGGTTGGCCCTCACGATGTCCTCGTCTTCGATGAACTCTCCGTAAGCGTTGAGCGTGTCTGCATGGTGAGGGTCTAGCGCTAAGGCATGCTCGAAGAGCTTGTGAGCCTTCTCTTTCTTCCCCTGTGTATGGGCATCCAAAGCCTGGTGCACTGCTGCCTGTACTTCACCTGCAACATCTGAGAGAGGAGTAGGGGTACCAAAAGACAAATACTACATATCATCATCAATAGTGATCTGTCAGTTTATGACAGGTTCAGTGACCCAATCAACATTCTATATCAAGTGTCTCTCCAAGTACCTCGGTCTTGAACCATCCGTTTCAGTGTTTCGTACCCTGCTGCTCCACATTCTGTGATTCAATCATCTAGAAAGTCTTTACAAGGTCTCCCCCTCTTCTTCATTCCATGTATACGACCTTCTATGACTCTGATCATCAAACCATCTTCTGAATATTTCTCTCCTAAGCCTAATGGGAAGGAACCCTGAATTGAATTGTAATTTCCCCCCAATTCAATCTACATGTATTAAAACAACATCTTTAATTGATACGCTTCATCACAAGCACCAACACCAACTTCTAGCCACCAGCATTCCAGCCAGATAAACGTATACGAAGCATATCATCGACATAGTCATAAGTACCAAGAGAACACAGAGGAGATTGGGTGATAAATCAGATCCATCACAAAAACTAGTGAGCTTTCTTGTTCTTTTTTTGTTAATGACATCTGGGCCAGGAGAAGGGGATCAGGGCCCTGTTTCACAAAAGTTTTAAACAATAATAAGTTACGTTAACTGTCATAAGCTACTGAAATAGTGGCATTTGATTGGCTGAAAGATTAGACATATATTACTCAGCTTTTGTTATTGTCTATTAATAACGAGTTTTATGAAACGGGACCCAAGGCAGGGCTTCATGAAAACACGTGTTTATTGCGATACATTGGTCTCGATGGAAAATGGGGGGCACTTGTACGATGGGTACCGTTGGGTGTCCCGAACACAAGCTTTTCAGATTTAGAGGAAAATATTGATGAAAAAGCACCAAACATCATGATTACATTAATAGACCAGTCCAACATACGCGCATGTCTTAAAAGATTAATGAAATATCGCTTTTCAACTGCCTTGATACACAAGCTGTCGAGCTGTACACTGCGCTGCGTCCAGACACAAACATAACAAACCAACAACAAAAACAATAACATTCAATTTCAATGAATCAATGATTAGTCTAGACCTAAAAAACACAATATTTCAGGCATTTCTGTTCCTAGTCCAGCAGAAGGAGAAGAGGTCAGGTCATATCTTTCATCAACAGTCAATTCTTCAACCTGTCAATCACTCAATGTCAATGTCAATGTCAATGGAATTAATAAATCGCAGTTCCCTGGAAGAATCCTGGATCGATGAACAGGCTTAGACCTACAACATCGTGTATTTAAGTAAAGTAAAGTAGCTAAAGTAATAAATAAATAAAAAAAAAAAAACACTCATTCATATTCCAGATAAACAGCAGTCAGCACAAATCATTTTTTCTGTTTACTTAATTAAACCCTTTTGATCCTGAATTGATAACTCTATTCTAAGAGTAAAACTAAGTCTTACTAACAGTTATTTACCAGTGTCAATTTCCGTTAAAACACAATATCCTTACCTGATGATTTTTGCTTCGGTGACACGGGCCAATTTCGCAAGCCATAATCAAATTTCTGCACTTCGGTGTTTGGGAGTGTTGACAATTCTGTTGTCCCACTCGTAAATTTCTGTGTTGGTAAAACTATTCCTAGATTTGTGATCAGTATTGCGCTTATTACTCCACCTAATAAAAATAAAATAACACTAAATACGCTTGACGAAATGTTGATCGTCAGGATTGTGTCTTTCTGCGATTTGTTATCTCCAGCTCCGCTCTCCATGATTTTTGGTACGCCCAAATTTTCATGTTGATTATGATGCAATCGGCTCAGCTGTCAGATCGCGAGAAAAGGGATTTGGCAATTTCTGATTGGATAAAAGTGCAAGACGTCACGAACAAGATGGCTGCGCCCATAGAAGTAAAATTGATCAGCTAGAGAAATTTCTTGAAGATATTTACATGCTGAGCGATCATATAATGTCTTTATTTACAGTTAATAGGTAAGAGAATATCTAGAAATACAGGATAATATTCATTTTGGTTGAATTTATATTATATTGCCTTTGTAATGAATATATGTTTACCACGTGCACGTGTTACTGTTAGTTTAATAGTAAGTCCAACGTCCCACCTACCCATTTTGGTGTATGTCTAGCATTAAAATTAGAATTTACTCACTCACTGTGCCTTGACATTCCATAAGTAATTAGCCTAATTGTCATTGGCCAAATAACTAGGAAAAGAGAAAGATAGGAATGTAATATAGAAAGAAGAAGAAGGGAAAAGGGAGAAGAAAAATAATTAAAAGAAATTTAATAAACTTGACTTTTAAAATGGTTAAAAAAGAAGAAAAAAGGGGAAGGAGGAGATGAAGAAGGAAGAAGAAAAAGTAGAAAAGTAGAAAAAGCAAGAAATGAAAGAAGAACAAGAGGAGGAGGAGGAGAATTCTAGAGGCCAGAGGATGGGGGGGGGGGGGTGGAGTTGGGAGTCTAAATTACTAACATTTATAATTTGATTATTAAAATGTTGACATCTTTTTAAACATTAATCATTCTTTCCCATCTTTTCTTGCTGTTCACACCCTTCTCATTTGATGTATCCAGATATTTGGGGGAATCCCCTGTGGAGTCTGGAGCAAGCCCAGGGCAAAGCATCCTAGACAAGATCAATGCCAAGGCCAAGGCAAGAGAGGAACAACGGAAGCAGACACCGCTTAAACTAAAAGAGTCGTCTCCAGCCCAAGAGTCAAAGGTCAAACATGCAACACCAAGGAGAACAGCCAAAGATGAGTCGCCATCTTCACAAACCCCTGGGACAGATTCTGTCAAACGGAAGAAGAAGAAGAAGAAGTTGGTTGTGCAACAAGAAAGCAGTGATGCTGTAGGGCATGGTGATGATGGAGGGGACACGTTGTTGCCCCAGGTTGGAGAGATGATAAAAGAAGATGAAAAGAGGGATGAAGATGTTACTGTGGCGGTTAGGGATGCTGTGATGCTTACCGCTAAAGAGAGGAAGCAGAGAGTCATCGATCAAGGACTCGTGCCGAAGGATTCAGTCGTGACTATAAAAAAGAAAAAGGGGAAGAGGAAAAATGAGGAAGGGAAGGTGAAAGAGGGTGAGGACAGGAGTGAGATAAGTGAAATGTCAAAGAAAACAAGACTTGAAATGAAAGATGGAGAATCGCTGGATCTTTCTCCTTCTGGTACCAAAAGGATAAAAGAAAAACTGAAAAAGAATGTTGGGAAGAAAGATAGGACAGACAAAAATCAAACAACCAAAGATGAGGAACTCAACATGGTGAGTAAGGATGAAAGCAGGAAAGAAGAAGAGGAGGAAGAACAAATGGAGGTAGACAAGGAGGAGGAAGAAGAAGATGGAGGAACGGTAGAAGAGGAGAAGGTAGAATCAGAAGATGACAAGGAACCACACAACTTTGTTATACTTGGTGACTTTGAGAGGAAACACAAGAAGAAGAAGGTAATACTATCCTAATTCCTGATATCGGAATAAAAAGTGTAATTGTAGTAATTTAATTATTAGAGGCTTCGAGCCTGCTCAAATTTTGAATCATATTAAATCATTTATTTTCCTCTATAAAAACAAGAATTACTAGAAAATTAATGTTGTGAATATTACTAGTTTAAGAATTCTAAGAAGCAGGTAAAAGACTTATTGAAAATGACCCCACAATAAATCACACAAAAACATTTAAACAAACTTGTTTTCTTTTATAAATGTAATGCTTCCTGGGAGATTGTTTTCCTTTGTAATTTTCAAGAAGGATTCCACAAATATTGTTTAAAGAACTTTTATTTTATATCTAATATAAACATCACTTTTTTAACAGGTTCATGAAGCTCTCACCATTTTGAATGTTATTTCTGCTAAGGTTCTACTAGTTTGTTTAGATTGTGTTGGTTCAAACAAGCCCATCTATTGCAATTAAATCATTCAGATTTGAATGCAGAAAATTCTGTTTATGTGATTCTATTCTAGTCTATAACTATTGCCCAAGTGCTATTGTCTAACCTGAATATCCTTCTTTTTTTTGCAACAGGTTCAAGAGGCTCTCCCTGATTGGCTAGCCAGACCCTCTGTCATCCAGCAGAGTCTGACTAACGACTTACAACCAGTCAACTCCATCAAGGGTCTGGATGAGAGACTAGTCACAGCATTGGCTTATATGGGAGTGGAGAAATTTTTTCCAGGTCAGATTTAGATATAATGATCAAGTGATTTGTCACTCATGCATCGTTTCAGTGTCTAGTTGTTATTCCCCACTAAATCAAGATGGGTTGCGTGAGCATTCTTTTATCTCTATTCTTTTGTCCTCCAAGAAATATCTTTTTTTCTTCTCTATATTGCTTTTAATCTAATTTTGACATTGTATCCTGTTTCCGTTAAGTGCAGCAGCACATCATTCCTATTCTCCTTGAGCCTATATTCTGCTTCTCTCTTTCTTTCTCTCTCTCTCTCTCTCTCTCTCTCTCTGGTATATGTTATCTGTCTGTCTTTCTATCATCACTTTCTCCTTATATGAACAAAGACCTCTGTACAATGTATTTTCTTTGTTTCTCTCTTTTCCTTTCTATTTGTCTCTTCTATCAGTCCGTTAATGTGTGTCTCTCCGTCAATTTCCCACTTCTAGAGGGTGTTTCACAAAGCCTTTTTCAATTCATGATTCAAATCAGTGACAAATCTGCTGATAACCAATCAGAAGCAAGGATTTCAGTAGCTTGTAACAACAACTGTCATTTGTCACTAATGACAGGTTTTGTGAAGCACCCCACTGGTATCTCAATCATACATTCATATATAGTAGTGTCTTTTCATCCTTTACTTTTTCATCTTCTCCCAGTCCAGCAGCATGTGATCCCCGTTCTCCTAGAGTCTCTGCGTGACGGCATACACACGGGCCATGCTGGGTACAGACCTCGGGACCTGTGCATCTCAGCTCCTACTGGTAGTGGCAAGACACTAGCCTATGCTATCCCTATCATACAGGTAAGACCAGAGGAGTGCTTCACAAAGATCCTAAGTTCAACTTATCTCTAAGTTAGACTTTAAAATTATGGAAAGCATCTTTGAAAATATTTTGTAAAAGTTATTTTAAAAGGAATAGAATGTTGATTTAAATCATTCATATTTTCTATTATCAAGGAGATTTTATTCATGTTCTTGAAGTGGAATTTATGAAAAGTCTAAAATACTTCAATTGTTGCTTTATAAAATATTTTATTTTAAGGCTACAAATGGCTCTCCATAATGTTTAAGTCCAACTTAGAGTTAAGTTCGACTTAGGATCTTTGTGAAACACCCCCAGGCTACTCAGCAGAACATTGTTAACCCCTGCTAATTTCAAATGGAAAAAGATAGGACAGTGCTCTCTTAGTTGATCCTTCAGTGCTCACCCTGGCATTGGGAAAGGGGAAGGGTGACCGAGACAATTTTGCAGGACGAAAGTTGCATTGACATTCATTACTTTAAGTTGGTCTTTATGGCATAACAGCAAAGTTGTTTAGCAGGATCAAGACAATTTTGAGGTTGCTAGTAAACATTGCCATATTAAGTTCCCTTGTAAGTGCCCTTGTCGGGGAGGGGGGTGGAGAAGAGAAATTGCCCTGGGCACATTTTCTGAAGTGCCCTTAGCTTGGTATTGGTAGCAATGGTCTTGTATCCTGGCAAAAACACAAGGTGAGATAAGGTCCAGTATTGAAGTCCAACAGTTTCAATTGTAAAATTTCAAAAGCACCACTGAATATTGACTTTCAAATGTAAATTTGGCCTTTCATTGAATTAGGGAGGCTTAGAAATGAACATATATACCTTGGGGAAAATTGGCTTACAAAATATTCACAATGATTTTTTGTCCTCAAATTGTTCCCTTATATAGGCTTTGATGAACCGAGTGGTGTGTCGGGTGCGAGCTCTCGTCGTCCTTCCGACCCGTGACCTCGCGACCCAGGTCTATAAGATCATCAGTGCGCTGTGTAAGGCCACACCCCTCAAACCTGTGCTGATCGGAGGAACCAAGAAGTTCGCTCAGGAACAGAGTCTACTGGTCAGAGAGATGTATGTGAAAATATTGTTTTTGTTTGTGTTTATGTTTTTTTGATTGATTGTTTATGTATCTGTTTGTTTCTTTGTCTGTTCATTTGTATGGTTTTGTTCTTGTGCTGAAGCAAGTTTGTACATGCAAGCTTGGTATTTGATTTGATTTGATTTTAGGTGTGTTTTTTTTTCTTAAATTCCTTTTACAATACATTAAAGTCATTACAAACTAACTTATTGATTTTGATGTAAACAAGAACAAACTTTGTAATTGACGTGCTACTTGCTAGTTCAGGTGCAAGATGAAAGATAGAAAGAGAGTATAAATGAATCATAGCCACAAATATATACATGCACTGCAAAATTAGAAACTTTAAATTTAATAAACAAATCAATTTGTTGAAACCGGATGAAAACTTTTATGAATTGCAAAGGTCCTGGATTGTGTCACTTGTAATGCAATTGTTTTTTTGCCATGAAAGTTTTGCAAATATGAACCATCTGCAAAATTCAAGAACACTTCATTTTGAATGGAAATATGGAGTTTAGAGTTGGGTTCAGGGATATCACTTTCTTTCCTCTGTCTTAGTTAAACTATTTTTATGGATTCTTTTTTAGTGATGGAGAACTTCATTCTCTGGCTGATATCGTCGTGGCAACCCCTGGTAGACTTGTGGACAACATCAGTCAGACTGCTGGCTTCAATCTACAACATCTTCGTTTCCTGGTTTGTATATATTTCTTGTTATTATTTATCAAACCTAAATTGAGCAAATTGTGACCCATCATGATTCATCACCATCATCATCCTCTTCCTCCTCCCTTCCTCCTCTGTCTTTTCCTTCCCCTCCCCTTCCTCTTTTTCTTCCTCCTCCTCTTCTTTTTTGTCCTCCTCATCACCACCATGATTCTGAACACCATCGTCAACACCACCATATATGTGCATGTATGTTATTGAAGAAAGGAATTTAATGTTACTCTACCCTACATTTGATGCATTCAGGTCATAGATGAAGCAGATCGTTTGATGGAACACATCTCCCAAGACTGGATTGCTCAAGTTGAAAAATCAGCTTACACTCCTCTGTATGATAATGGAACAACCCTTCCAACATTCACTTCTAATAGACAGAGGCCTGGTCCATTGACGATCAATAGGTAAATCTTTATATATCTCATGTACTCACAGGGATTCTAAATTTGAGATCAAACAATTTTTAAGCCAAGTGCATGTTTCTAAAAAAAAATGTAATTGAAAAAGAAAAACAACATGATGCTAATAAATTAAGACCAAAGGTTGAATAAGTGTAGAAAAGACATGGCAATTCAGTTCAAAGTCTGTTATGTTTTTAATATAATCAAACACAAAGGGCTAGCCTGAACCGCCAAAGTTGTGTGTGCTTCACAGTTATAACGCACAGATAAATGAATTCTTTTTTGACATAGCTACTTACCATTAATTTATTACAAAAACAAAAACCTGTAGTAAACTGCATCGGTATACCATGGCAAATTTGAGGTATTTAATTATTTATCTCAATATATTTAAGCTTTCATGTTGCTTTCTTTGTATCTTTTTTTTCTTCTTCAGATCATCATCGTTTCAACTTCCGGTAAGTACTACAGAGAGTTTAGCAATGTTGAAAAATTGAGATGGAGCCCGTCAGCAAAATATATATGATGCCTTGAACTTTTGTGTAAATTAGATATACATAATCTTCTTTTGAATAAAATTTCTAATAACACAAAATTTAATTTCAACTACTGAGTTGCAACATTAATGAAAAAATACCAGTCGCAATAAGTTAGAAGTTTACTTAATGTTTATTAGGTCATAGCTGACACTGACATGCCGGCCAGAAAAGGATCTTGAGGACCTTATGGATCCTTGAGGCAACTAGAACTTTTGCTTCGTTTTGCCTCATCATGACTTTTAAATGTGTTCATCTCAGAATGATTATTTCCTGTGCACTCCTCCATTTTACTTCCATATTTTGTTCTGGGCCCTGTTTTCCTAAAACTTGTTATCACTAACAAGTTACAAGCTATTGTTATAAGCTACTGAAACCATGGCATCTGATTGGCTGAGAGCAAACTTGATATCAATAACAAGTTACAAGCTACTGTTAAAAGCTACTGAAACCATGGCATCTGATTGGCTGAGAGCAAATTTTTAATAGAAATTTAGCAGTTGTTATTGATAACAAGTTTCATGAAACGTGCCCCTGGTTCTCCACAGCTTCAGAAGTTGCTGTTCTCAGCGACGCTCTCCCAGAATCCCGAGAAACTGACCCAGCTACGGTTATTCCAACCCCGTCTCATCACCACGGCAACAAGCAGTAGAGCCCCTCCCATCTCGGCTTGGCACCTTGATGGAGAGAAGGAAGGAGTGAAGGAGGAAGGGAAGGAGAAGGATGAAGGAAGGACTGACTTTGTTGGAAAGTATACAACTCCTGTTGGTTTATCGGTAGGTTTCTATTTCATTAGTATTTTTAAATTCCATTTTAAGGAACATAAAGGAGTTTAACAATAGCAAAGAAAGACAAGAAAACAAAGTTCAAAAACAAATACCACAACTGAAGAAAGAAACCATCAACTCTTGTCTATTCAGTACTGTTGAGAAACCTTGTTCCAATATGGAAACTGACAAGAACGTTAAGTGTCTCACATTTCTTTATCTTATAATATACCAGATATAAAGTGAGAATACCCAGAAGCCTTTGTGACTCATAGATATACCTTTTTTCACCCCAACATGAAAGTAGCTTGTATTTGGCCATAGTCAATTACTATATATCACCTGTGAACAGGCTTTGATAGTTGATTCATATTATTTAAAATTGTCAAACCGTCTGCGATGACAAGCCAAGAGAAACATTGAAAATGGGCCTCTGTAGACAGGTGCCCTCTCTAGACAGGTTCCACGACACAATGTTATAATAGGTGACCGCTACAGATCACCTATGGCTGTCGTCCATTTTGAGACTTGAGAGATACCATTTAAAGTTTGTTTCATGGCTGGGACATTGAATGACCCAATCAGTTTATCACTGCGCATATCAGAAGTTGTTTTAAATCTCCCTCCTTATTTTAGTTTGACACATGTATATTTTGCTGCTAATGATTATTATTTTTTTTTGTAGGAATACTTTGTCCAATGTACGGCCGGTGAGAAACCTCTGGTTCTGCAGCATTTTCTACTCAATCTGTACTTCAAACAAGTCCTCTGCTTCACAAACAGTGTACAGACAACTCATAGGTAAGCATTGTGTATAGAGAGAGTGTATGGGAGGAATAAGGGAGATAGATAGAGGAAAGGAGTAGGACAGAAAAGAGAGACAGAGAGAGAAAAGGAAAGAGGCGACAGATGAACACAGTGAAGGGGAGGAAGAAAGAAATTAATACATAATAATAATAACAGTTAAATAAATTTATATAGCGCAGCTACTGTGTAAATATACTCTACTGCGCTGGGATGAAGATAAAAAACCTCTTAACGGTGCTACTTCAAGACCTATTCAAAAGATTCTGAAAACAAATGCATCTTCAACAGAGCTTTGAAGACGGCAACAGATAATGCAAGAAAGATATTCACAAACAAGGTCGGTAGAGCACTTAAAATGTTCAGACGACACATTGGGAACTTAGGAGGAGATGGAGGGAAAGAGAGAGAGAAAATATTAGTGATGGTAATTTCTCTTACTATTTGTTCCAGGTTGTATCTCCTGTTGAAGCTGATGGGAGACGTAGAGGTATCAGAGTTCTCATCTAATCTCAGTCAATCAGAAAGACAGAACATCCTCAAACAGTTCAAAGCTGGCAAGATTCAGATGTAAGTCACAATATTGATCCTACTATAACTGTAAAACGCGGAAATAGTTGTACTTTCATTTTCGCAAATTTCACGCTAAGATCGGCAAGCGCGAAATTTAGAACTCGCAAAAATATAAGCATGACTTATTATGTGTGTTTTGAACGGGCTGAATTGCGTGCAACGTGAATTTAAGAACCAACGAATATGTTTTGGGATCGCTCGGCACGAAAAAAATGATCACGCAAAATTAACACAGTTCACAGTAAATTGTATCAAGCAAAAGGTTTATTGTTTGTTATTCTTCTCTGTGTTGGCTTTGAAACAGTTGATGATTTTTTTTTTTTAGGGGGGGGGGGGGGTTCTTGTTGATTGTGTACTGCAAGCGGAAGCTTATTTTGTTTAAATTTTAATTCTATTGTCTAGAATGGCATGCATCTCTTTTATTAAACCAATATCATCTGGTTATGGTAGTTTCATATGACTGGATAAATGGCATCATCGTCATCATCATAACAGTGATGACATATATAGTGTCTTTCCAGTTTCAAGTCACTGAGATTCCATGACATTTGCTCCGGCGACAATTGCTCCGCTGTAAATTTCATACACTAATCGAATGGCTAACTTCAACCCTGGATTCAACACTATACCCTACCCTAAACCTAACCCTAAACCTAACATAAAACCCTATTGAAACCCTAACCCTAACCCTACATCTTAGACGAAATAAAGCCCAGAGCAATTGTCGCAGGAGCAAATGTCGTGTCACCGTCACTGAGCATAGCACTTACAGTATCATTACCTCGGTCACCAGTGTTATAATCTTCACTTTCATCACCATCATAATCATTATTATCATCATCAATGTCATCACCATCACCACTATCATGATCATTATAATGAACACATACACATAAATGTATACTCATCAGTACCAATAACCATCATTACAGATAATTTTTACACCTGTGCTAGAACTCAACCTCTCTTTAAACTTAAAGGTAAAGGCCAGTTTGGGAAACGCCCCTCTTTCAAAAAATAAAATGGAAGCTGTTATTACCATTCATGTGAAAGAATATGTATTGAATAATACGTGATGATACAAATTTTGCCGAGAAACTACTAAAACCTACTAATTGATATATTTGGTAAATGATTATATCTATTTGGACCTGATGGATATAACGCATGTGACGCGTAGTCCCATATACATCTTTCTGTGTACAGTGCTTGTAACTTTACCAAGACTGTGCCAAATTTCCTATCATTTTGATGATTCCAGAACCTAGCAGTACACACCAATACTTATATGCCAGATGAACAACCTTTTCTGATCGATTCCACGTTTCTTTCACAATTCAATCGCATGACCAGAACTGGTCTTTATCTTTAATTTCCTCTGTTCTTGTTTTAGCCTCGTGTGTTCCGATGCGATGGCTCGAGGAATGGACATTGAGAACGTTAGATGTGTCATATCATACGATCTACCACCGCACCTCAAGACGTACATCCACAGGGTCGGACGGACAGCTAGGGCGGGGCGGGGAGGGACCGCATTCTCATTCATCAGAAAGAAAGAGGCAAGTGGTATCTGTTTGACGGATGATGATGATGATGATAGTTTTGTTGTGTGCCGGGTACAAGCGTTTGTTTGAGTAGGGTCAGTAATGTCACGAAATGTCTAACCCCACACAAAGGGAACAGCAACACCTTCTGTTTGGAATAATTTACCATTTAATTTGAGAATAATAATTTCTTGAGAGACCTTAAAATCCAAGCTGAAATCTTATCTTTTTTTAACAATACCTTTTTTTGGCACTATGACACTCATCCAAACTCTCTCATTCTTTCTATTTTTCTTGTGCGCTTTGGAATAGAATCATCTAGATAGATGGCGCTATATAAATGCCTATTATTATTATGGTGATGATGATGATGACGATGGTGGTGGTGGTGGTGGTGATTATGATGGTGGTGGTGATGGTTACAATGATGATGATTACAATGATTATTATGATGGTGATGGTGGTGATGATGATGATTATCATGAGAATGGTGGTGGTGATGATGATGATGGTGATGATGATGATTATTATGATGGTGATGGTGGTGGTGATGATGATGATGATTACAATGATGATTATTATGATGGTAGTGATGATGATTTTGATTTTGATAGTGATGGGGATGGTATGGCAATGGGGATGACAATGGTGATGATATTCATTTATTTTTTGTAATCATTATCACATAGGTCAATGATTTCAAGCACATGTTGAAGAATGCTGGTAAGGATGGCATCCAGCGTCACACGGTTTCATCCAATCATCTTGAAGCTCTCGCGCCAGCCTATACAGAAGCCCTCACCAAGCTCTCATCCATGCTGAGGGTATGTACATAGAATCATCTTATTATTACTCTACTTCATCATGATCATCTTTATAATCATGATAATAATCGTCATCATCATCATCTTCATCACCATCATCACCATCATCATCATCATCACCATCATCATCATCATCACCATCACCATCATCATCACCATCATCATCATCATCATCATCACCATCATCATCATCACCACCATCATCATCACCACCACCATCATCAACATCATCACCACCACCATCACCATCATCATCATCACCATCATCATCATCATCATCACCATCACCATCATCATCACTATCATCATCATCATCATCATCACCATCATCATCATCACCACCATCATCATCACCACCACCATCATCAACATCATCACCACCACCATCACCATCATCATCATCACCATCATCACCACCACCATCATCATCACCATCATCATCACCATCATCATCATCACCATCATCACCATCATCATCATCACCACCACCATCACCATCATCATCACCATCATCACCATCATCATCATCATCATCACCATCATCATCATCACCACCATCATCACCATCATCATCATCATCACCACCACCATCACCATCATCATCATCACCATCATCACCATCATCATCATCATCATCATCATCACCATCATCATCATCATCACCACCACCATCACCACCACCATCACCATCATCATCATCACCATCATTATCATCATCACCATCACCATCATCATCATCACCATCATCACCATCATCATCATCATCATCACCACCACCATCACCATCACCATCATCACCATCATCATCATCATCACCACCACCATCACCATCATCATCATCACCATCATCACCATCATCATCATCATCATCAACATCATCACCACCACCATCACCATCACCATCATCATCATCACCATCACCATCATCACCATCATCATCAACATCATCACCACCACCATCATTATCATCATATATTCATCACCATCACCATCATTATCTTCATTATCATTATCTTCATCATCATCATCATCATCATCATCATCATCATCATCACCACCATCATCATCATTATCATCATCATCATCACCGTCATCATCATTATCATCATATATTCATCACCATCACCATCATTATCTTCATTATCATTATCTTCATCATCATCATTATCATCATCCTCAACATCATTTAGCGTCCGTTTTACCATGCCGTGGGGCATTACTGAGTTTGCATACCTGATTAAAAGGTGCTGTGCGGCCTTAATTTAATGAAAAATGTCAAAAATTCACCAATGGTCATAACCATAACAAGCAACTTTTTAAATGAACTTCTTTTGATAAAATGAAAGAGCTATATATTCACAGCATACAAGAAAGTTCATTGTGAAAAACTTTGCACTCATCATTTAGCCAGGGTAATAATTGTGGAGCACCAGGAGTGTCAAGCCTGACAGACATGAGTGCTTTACAAGAACCCACCATTATCATTCTATTGTATAATTACATACATTTTTTTTTTTCTCTACAGGAGCAAAAAGCACATCAATATTGAGATCAGCATGAGCAGTCAAGACGAGGAAAACAAGTCTGAAGGAAAAAGTTAGAACTGCCATTGGATGGGAAAATCCAAGCTATATTGTCCATCTTTCAAATGGCATCTAGCTAGAATGCTCCCCAGGGAGTGGAGAATGTGCACAGATTGTGTGTGGGCAAGCCTTGATCCAAAGACCGGGGTAATAATGTATCTTTACAGCGCCTCGAAATATTGTCGATGGATTAGTCGCCATCTAAACTCAGAATTATTTTCCCATATGTTGCGAACCATATCTAAGATTTCAGGGTATACCTGATGACTGCATCAAGCTGATAGCCCTCAAAGTGTAAAGTTTAAGATTCTTGTGATAGTATTCGAACTTAAACATGGGTGCTGTATGCTCCATCATATTTAAATGACCCTCTCAAACCTGTCATTCCATCACGTTCATTCCGGACAACAACCCATGGTGATTTCTAATACACCCTGGTCCCCTAACCGATATCGTTACGGTGATTGTGCTTTTGTTGTTGCAGCCCCTTGATTATGAAATAGATTAGCAATTCTCGCTACCCCAAATAGCGATTCTGCCGAGATCCGGGGAAAATCCTGAAAACGCGCATTGCATTATGGGATAGCTTTTCGACATTACAGCTTCCTGTGCAGGCGTTCGTGATCACAACTCTCTCTTTCACGGTAGAGTTTAACGGCCTTTTGTGCTAAAGTCACTAATTCTGCCCGAAGCTTTCCATTGCATATTATGATCTGTACAAATTACACTGATTGGCATCGATTTTAGCGTGCGTGAAAACTCTGCACAGCGAACACAGGCGCTAGCGCCAGCGGGATGGGACTCTATACCGGAAGTTGTAGTGACGACCCGAGAGAGTGAAAATTACCTCGTCTCGCGAATTTCGAGATTTTCGTACCTATTTAGGGTAGCGAGAATTAGTATCCATCAATCCCCATCCGTAGAGTCATTTAAGGAAATTTTTAAGCATTTCTTGTTTAATAGAAATTTATGTGGCAATTTTGTTCAAAGCAAGTTGCTAATTATCTGTAATTGTTATTAGAATTATGTAATGTTATTGCTATATGTTTACTTTACGTTTACCTTGTTTTGTTTAACGCTTAGAAACATTGTATTAAGCGCTTTATAAATGCAATTCATTATTACTATTGTTATTACTAGTGCTTGAATCAGACAAAACAAAAAATATGTTTGCATATTCATATCAAATGCCTCCTCATTTTTAGATGTAATCAGAAGTTGTCAGAATACGAATAAGACAGGTTTAAATGTGTTTTTTCTTCTTCATATCTTGTATTAAATGAAATATGATTGAAACAGCTTCTATTCCGATTTTGTTGGTCTTTATATTATACTGTTGTTAGAGAGAGTGAGACAGAGTGAAAGGTTGAACAGAGGAGTAGGTAAAAGAGAGGGGGTAGCAAGAGGAAAGTGTATAGGAAGAGAGAGAGGAAGAGAGAGAGAGAGAGAAAGAAGAGTGAAGAGAAAGAAGAGTGAAGAGAAAGAGAGGAGCAGAAAGAAACTGGAAAATACAAATGAAAAGCCAAATGCACTAGATTTTAAAAGTTTAATGGGAGAGAAAGGAAGATACTTTGGTGTTTTTGTGTGCTGTCATTAAATGGTCTGCAAAAATAAAAACCAGATCAAAACATGAATTTGACAGTATATATATTCATATTTATAATTATAAATCTACATTCAGCAACAAAATATAATCTCCTCTGAAAAGTATGATAGATGCCCCTGTGCAATTGCACCACACTCCACAGTGGACCCTTACACTATACATGTACATGTATACATGTACCTTCTACTTCTTCTTGTTTTCTTCTACTTGTGGAGCCAATCACCAAGACCTCTATGGAGATTACCAGGGCCCCATTTTACAAAACTTGTCATCGGTGACAAACTAAATGACAGTTTTTGTTATAAGCTACAGAAATCCTTCCTTCTGATTGGTTAACAGCAGATTTTTCTTTGAAAAAAGGCTTTGTGAAACGGGGCCCTGTTGTGTTTACACACTACTTTTTGCCAGAAATGTAGTGAAATTAAAGTTAATGTTCTATTAGAGAAACAGTGTTTTCCATTGAACCCGAGCCTTCATCGTGCATGAACAGAAGGGAGGGGTGCACTAACCACTTTGCACACAACCGTGTGTCTTTTGATACCCACCTGTATATGGATTCACATATCACTAAAATATGCAAATCAGCCTATTTCATGATTTATAATTTGAGACGCATTCGAAAGTACTTTGATCAGGACAGCATGAAAATTATCATGCATGCATGTGTTACTAGTAAACTAGATTACTGTAATAGTTTATTGTATGGATTGCCAGACTCACAAATTTCCAAGTTGCAGCGGGTCCAAAATACATGTGCACAACTAATTTGCAGCCTCCCAAAATTCTCTCGAATAACCCCACTTCTAAAGGAACTACACTGGTTGCCAATTTGCCAGAGAATTACATTTAAAATATTAATGATAGTCTACAAAGCTCTAAATGGTCAAACTCCTAGTTACGTTACTGAATTGTTGCATATCAAGTCTCAAACTCATGGTCGTAACCTTCGTAGTACACAAGACACATTTATGTTGCAAATACCCCCATATAAAACCAAAGTAACCCTCGGGGACCGGTCATTTCTTTGTGTTGCCCCTAGATTATGGAATAAATTACCACTAGAAATAAGAAAAGCCCCATCACTAGATAATTTTAAATCAAAACTGAAAACTCACTTGTTCATATAGTATGTATAGCACAGCATTTACGAGCTCTTGCAGCGCAATAGAATATATCCACATAGTTATTGCGCTTAACAAATTGATATTATTATTTATTATTATTAACCTGGCCACAGTTATTTTAGAATTTTTGTCTGTTCAGCGCGGGACTCAAACCCACGTGCATGACAAACGTCATGAATGTTAGAAGACAAACTCTGGACTCGGCACTACTGTATACCTAATAATCTAACGCTCAACATAACCCAAGACCCAATTGCAACTCTAACCTTTACATGAACTGATGAAACCAAAAAAAGCTAAAGTTATGCAACATATTACACATGTAGATGTATGTCATACTTAATATTCCAAGTGCAGACTATAAGTATAAGAAAATGTACACCAGCAACTTGGATTACCTTCTAACAAAAATACATTTGATTTTATAATATGCAGCAGTTTCATACAGTCAAGAACTATGTTATTCAAACCCTTACCAATGTTTATTTGAAGCTAAACCGTAGGCACTCTATACTGGACCTTGTGGCAGGTTAGCCTTGTGCTAACAAGTTATCCAATAAAGTCTACTACAGTCAAACCTGCTTTAGTGACCACCTGTCAGAAACAAGCACATTTGTTGCTTGAAGCTTCCCTTGAAAATGGTTTCTCAATGAAACATGTACGGTACTAAAGGAACCTGTCTACAAAGACCACTTGTTGTGTTTCCCTTGGGCGGTTGCTGTAGACAGGTTTGACTGTACTTCTAATACTACTAATGCTTTACAACTCGGACTTTTTTTTTTATAAAGTTCAATATTTTGTGATTGATTAGTAAACTCCCTTTTCTTTCTTCTTATACTGAATGACCCTACAGCAAACTGTAGGTCCTTCTTACTTAATAGCACAAATCATTGGTATTCATTGTCATAGTGCGCCAGGTCTATATGCAGTTGATAAACATGAAGATACAGGGCCGGTTTTCAATCCAATACTAAAGATTTAAATATCAGTATTTAGTTTACAGCTTAGATGAAACAAAAACAAAAAGTCAATTTTGGTATTCTGTTCAAACGTTTGGCTAAGTATTTTACCCTATATTAAAGATAGCTCCCTACCAGACTTAAGCCAATTATTTGGAGGCCTTGATTGGTAGGTATATGGTCTTTTAACGCAGTATGATAACCTGCACAATCATATTAGCGTGCATTTATTGCAGCGCGTTAATTGCGCATTACTTTTGATTCACCATGTGATGTCACAATGCTTGTCAGCAAGTATTTTGCTGTAAAGTCAGCTTATGCGATCTGGATACGGCTTAAGACGTTTTACCTAGCTTAGCAAAAAACTAAGTTAAAGTTTAACTGAAACAAACTATGGAATTGAATCCCAGCCCAGTTTCATAAAATTGACAAATCTTCTCACAGCCGATCAACTCCAACTATTTCAGTAGCCTATAACAATTATTGTATCTTGTTATTGATAACAAGTTTCATGAAACAGAGCCGAGATGCTTCATAACTGCATTTGGTAACAGTGAACGAGTCAAGTTATATAACTAGTATACCACAAAATGGCTGACATTTAGTAATCCTACAATCCATTACATTTACAATACAATAATTATGTACCTGGTAAATTTTACCGATGTCATATCTGTACGGCATTGGTCCATTGTATTTGTAACTGCAATATTAGTTTGAAATAAATGTAGTAATTCTCAGGTAATCTACATTTACCTTTTGCCATCACTGACCCATTTCAGAACCAATAAAAACAAACAAAATATATAGCTCAACTTTATGAATGTGGCCAAGGTGATTCAACGTACATGTAGGTGTAATATTCTTTCACTTCTTGTATAAGAGTATAATTAATTAATTAAACAGTATAATTAAGAAGACATTATTTTTATAATCTCTTCGCACGATTTCTTCTTGTCATGTGTTCTTCAGTGGAAGAGCAGGAATGTCACTCATGTGAGCACAAATCACCATCTGAAGTTGGCAGTATTGCACATGCTAGTTTAAACCTGTGGTTACTATGGTTACGCAATCTCGCCATTATCACCCCCATCATCCTTGAGAGCAGAGTCATTCTTTGTTATTGAACTGAACTGCACTCCGCAACAGAGAGCCAAGACTAGCAATGCTGAACAGATAATGAAGATATGTCTCGTGCCAGCTTTGGTTGGCTCGTCATGCAGCACCATGAGCATGATGCAAGCAATCAAGTTCAACGGCACGCGAAACCAGTTCATGGTCCCCGTGCGGTGTGACTCTGGAAGGATTTTGCTGCGCAGGAAACCCATGGCCGGGAAGTAGATCCCACAAGCGAGCTCCAGGAGGAGGAACGCAAAGTACGAGACAGTGGGGTGCTCCTGGAGAGGCTTCGTGGAACCCACGCAAATAAGAGTTGAAACAAGCGCCACGATGATGGCCGCGTTGACTAGGACAACGGGCGAATGTCTGATCGTGGTGAGGATTTGATAAACGGCGGATCCGATCATGATGCACAACATGAAGTTTGAGAAGATGAGGCCGAGTGGAAGCTCGTAGGGGTCAAGGACCGGTGTCCAGATGAAGATGAAGATGTACATGACGCTCTCGTAGAGCGACTGCATTGCACCAATGAGCATCATCCTACGGCTACTGACGATGTGTCGCATCCCTTCGCCGCAAGTCTTTGAGCAGCTGACGCGTTGCTGGCTGTAGTTCTCCTTCCAGGATGTAGCGACGATCACTCCCGAAGCGACGAGCAGCGGGATTGATAGAAGGAAAGGGGAAACGGGACCCAAGCCGAAGGGTCCGGCGATGATGTTCGCAACGATTCCTGCACCGACGGCGAGAGCTCCATTCCAGACCGTTGCCTTTGAGAAGGTCACTGAGAGCCACTCCTTGGGGAAGTCATGCGTCTCCAGGTGTTCGTGCGCGTACCATGCCTCAAAGGCTGTGAAGAGAAGCGACGTGGACACCCCTCCCAGTATCCTGCCTATGATGAGGAGTCCATAGCTGCGAGACAGCTTCATGAAACATGACACCGAGTACACTATACAGAAGGTGATACAAAGCTTCTTACGGCCGAAGCGATCAGCCAGGCTGCTGGTCAGACTCCCGAACACGACGCTCGCTGCGAATCCACAGACGTATAGCACCGTGATCTGCGACTCCAGGAAGCCATAGTAGCTGTAGAGTTTATAGAGGTATGGCCCCTGCAGCCAGTCTGCTGCTAGCGCTAAGAAGTACGCTAAGAAATACTTCCTCTGGAATTTCACAAATGTTGGGTTGTTACCCAGGCTGAGCTGGTGATCGCTCAGCCTCCTGGAAATTAGTGTCAGCAGTACGCATGCGGTCAGAAGACCAGCAAAGGTCCCATACACGATGTAGATCAAGCCTGAAATTACAGGCATGGTCAGTTTTCAAATGCTCCCACAACTGAGATCAGAATTCTCTACAGTCTCTCCCTCCTGTGTCAATATTCCTGTAGATCTGTAGCGATGAAAAAGAATTTTAGACAAAATGTGTGAGGGTGAAAATTCAAAGTCTGAATAGAATCTAGATCTATATTCATTTACAATTTACTAACAGGGAGACTATCTACACTCACCTTACCATTTAAATTTAAATTCAAAGAAAACTTTGGGTTTCCCAATGAGATGACAGTGATCTTACTTTCCTAAAAGAAGATGATCAAATATTTCTGAAATACACCTGTAAGATACTCTCATACACCTGTACACAAGTGCTACCCACCAGTGTCCTTCAACCTCTGATATGGACCCTAATTCTAATGGTGTATTGCACCTTTTCTGAAATAGATCCTAAATGGCGTATCGTGAACCCGACTGAAAAGGGTACCCTTTTTAAAGTAAAATCTTTGAACCTGAAAAGGTTAAAGGTAGGCTAGCCCTTTTGGTTTATTGTGTGCGATCGTAAGTAAAACGTCAACGACGCCGTATCGTATATATAACTGAAAAAGACACTTTTTCTGGACACGGTGCGTAGCCACGGTCCACGGCCCACATGCAATACAATGGACACAATCAGTAGGGGCGCTGGTTCGAGAATAAGGATCGTCTGCAAAAAAGCAGATGTTCCATATTTTAGATCGGCACATTGGCGATGCAAAAAACGGATTCCGGGATGATTTTCTTGATGCATTTTACATTGACTTTGTACAGAGACCTTCACATTATGAGCAATAAATCCTTGGGAAGACGGACAACCCATAAAAGTAGACGGTCAACTAGGGTTATTTTCCCCTGGCCTGCATGGGAAATCCAAATTTGGCATTGCCAGCGGGCAGTTCGGTAACCCGAAACCCGCAGAGCTGAGCGCCGATGAAAAAAAACTGTGATAGCGCTATTACGAACATGAGCTCGCACACAGTTTTTCCTTCATAATCATTTTGCCTTCGGCGTAGACTAGAAGGGACGAGATTTAGATGCTTCATGCGCAGCGAGAGTTAAAATACGTCTTGCAAGATTTTCAACATGGATTTCGATTTTGACCCATAATTTCCTAAAAAAGGGACCATTAAACGGATTATTTCAGTCAAGTTGGTAAGTGGAACCGATTTATTATAGCCTAGGCCTATTTTACATAGGGTCTAGATCTATAACATGCACAAGGTAAAATGACATTTGGGGGGATTTTCGGGGCATAAAAATATGGGCATAAAAATATGGCCATAAATGGCCATGACGTTAGCAAGGGGATGCGTATAAACGGTTTCCGTCTCTAAAGAGAGAGCCGACCTACCCCAATAAGAGGCTAACGAACGAAAGAGACAGAAAATTCGGTCTAGAGTAGACCTAATAATACTTTCTAGTAGACTAGATCTCTAGATCTAAAGTTAGTACCGAGTCTGAGCTAGCTGCTCAAGATCACAACATGATAAAAGTTAACCATAAGTTCATAACATTCACATAAGAATTAAGATAACCACATATTTTAAATGTCATGATTATACAGAAAGAGCCAAGACGACGTCTGCGGGTGGAGCTGCATGCCTGCGCCCGGCCGTAGTCCTATCCTTATCCATGCATGGCCATGACACTGCACTGGCAGCGAATACATCACGCAGCTCAGCCATCGGACTCCGAGCGAGCTCCCCAACAAGCTCCATCGGGGGAGCTCTCTCCGAATTCCGTTGGCCTGCCGCGAGTCGCCAGTCTGGTCAAAAGACACTTCCCCTTCTTCTTAGTTTCGACTTCATTTTACAATAAAATGGGAGAGAAAGAGAAACTCGTAACATTTTTCATAATCTACATACCTATATAATCTTCCTAGAATGAAATACATAGATGAATTTCTTTCAGGCCTTGCCGAAGAAATAAAATAAATTGGCTAAAGAATTGAGGGACTTGCCACGTAATTTTTGTATACAACATTATTAACTAGATTAGGTTCAAGACGTTGCAAAATTAAGAAAAAGTGCAGACATACTGCCTGCAAAATGTGAGATTGCGAGTAAAGTACTCGACATTTGTGCTTTATGTTTTTAAGATTTTAGAAAAATTCTAATTGTTCCAGTTCATTAGTAGTGTAATGAACTGTTTAATGTTTAATTTTAACATTCCAACATCTTTTTTTTTCTTCTCACTCTCTTGCAATTATTATGGATGCTTCCTATTTTGTTGCTTTAAATGTGTTTTTGTTACCTTTTAATCTTTGTAGTATATTAATCTCCCATATATGTGTTAATATGTTTTCTGACAATCTTCTTGACTTGTATTCCCAACACTTAGACTTCATATTTTATTTTGTGATTCCAATCCAAGATGGTTAATATAGAAGAAGTTGCTTGTAATATTTTAGAAAATAATGCAAGCACGCTAGAGCCCAATGTTAATGATAATTTTGATCATGCCTCTCCAATTATTTGTCATTACTGTTCAGAAAATCAATTTATGGATGGGTTTCGTAATAAATGTGAAAATGATGTTACTGTCCTACATTTAAATGTTAGAAGTATGCATAAAAAAAATTGATGCTTTTAATACTCTTATCAGAAACCTCAATGATAGCTCTACAATAATTGGGGTCTCGGAGACTTGGTTTTCGAGTGAGAGTGATGTTAATTTATATTCTATTTCTGGATATAGTTTGGTGTCTAATCACAGACGTGATAAAAGAGGCGGTGGTGTTGCCTTATACATTCCAGTTGGTATGGATTTCCAAGTAAGGCATGACTTAAATGTGATGACTGATCAGTTGGAGTCTATTTTTGTAGAGTGTTTTATTCCAGGCAAAAAGAATGTTATCTTTGGAGTTATATACAGACCTCCCCAGAGTAATATAGATCTTACTGTGAATGAATTGCAGAGTATATTGTTGAACCCACTATTTGTCAATAAGTCAATATTCTTAATGGGAGATTATAATATAAACCTTCTTCAATGTGATGAAAATGACCATTATAATGCTTTTTTGAATATGATGTTGTCATTTTCTTTAATGCCATTAATTACAAAACCCACAAGGGTAACTGATAGTTCATCTACCCTTATTGATAACATATTTTGTAATTTGCAACCTTTTCCACCTTCAGGTATTATAATATCAGATCTTTCAGATCATTTCCCTATCTTCACTAGAGTGAATTTTCGTAATACTGCTCATAATCATGAATGTAAATATATTCGTAAAAACAATCCTACTAACATTGAGAAGTTTCGAGAAGCACTAACGGCAACTGACTGGAGTGCAGTTTTACTTGAAAAGGATGTTAATATTTCATTCAACAATTTCTTTAATAAGTTTTTGCTAGGCTCTATGATAAAATTGTTCCGATTTCCAAATGTAATACTAGAAATCGTAAGAAAATTCCACGCATATGCCATGGGTCAGTGCTTCCTTGTTGAAGTCTATCAATAAGAAGAATAAGTTGTATTATTCTTATAAAGTTAGTGGAAGAGAATCATCACGTAAACGATATGTTGATTATAAAAACACCCTTACTTCAGTCTTGCGTGCAGCAAAGAAAACATATTATTTTGCTCAGTTTCAAGCAACTTCAAACGATATCAAAGGAACTTGGAAAGTGATAAGAAATGTGTTCAAGTCAAAGAAAAACAATTCTGATGTAAAGAATATTGAAATTGATGGTCGTTTAGTGGAAGATAAGAATATTATTGTGGAAAAATTCAATGATTATTTTTGCAGTATTGGTCCTAATCTGTCACGGGCGGTCCCTTCCTGTCAAAAATCTTTTAACGATTTCCTGAAAGAATCTAACAAGAAAAGCTTATTCCTTTTCCCATTAGTTAGGGAAGAGTTGCTTACTATTGTGAATTCGCTTAAGGCTGGGAAAAGTCCTGGTTACGATGGTGTCAATAATGACATAATTAAACAGGTTATCTTAGCGATTATTCAACCCCTTATTCATGTTTTTAATTCATCAATGTTAAATGGAATAGTCCCCGAAAACATGAAAATTGCAAAAGTCGTACCCGTTTTTAAAAAGGGTGATCCTCAATCTTTTTCAAATTACCGTCCTATTTCACTTCTAACCTCCTTCTCAAAGATCCTTGAGAAAGTGATTTATGTTAGAACTTTAGAATTTTTCAACAAAAGTAAAATATTCTCAAATTTTCAGTTTGGGTTCCGAGAGAAACATACTACCTCTCATGCCTTGCTGCACTTTATAGATAAGATTTCACAAGCAATAGACAAAAAGATGCACACAATCGGTATATTCCTTGATTATTCCAAGGCATTTAGATCATGAAATTTTGCTAGGGAAATTATCGCATTATGGTGTCAGGGGCACAGCTCTGGACTGGTTTAAGAGCTACTTAGCTGACAGGAAACAATTTGTTTCTTTAAACGGTTTTGATTCAGGGTTACAGAATGTCACATGCGGCGTTCCTCAGGGATCTCTCCTTGGTCCGCTCTTGTTTATTGTATATATTAATGACTTTCATTTCTCATCTGATATTTTGTCATTCATTTTATTTGCTGATGATTCCAGCTTGTACTATTCACACAAAAATTCACAAACTCTGTTAGAAACGGTTAATTTCGAACTAAGTAAAGTTACTTTGTGGATTCAAGCAAATAAATTGTCTTTAAATCTGCAAAAGACAAATTATATGTTTTTTAGTAATACAATCAAAGTGCTTCCAGGAGATGTATCATTTAATAATGTATTGATAGATAGGGTATCATCAACAAAATTCCTTGGTTTGCACATTGATGAGCAAATGAGTTGGAAAATTCATGTAAATCATCTCTATAAGACATTGTCAAGAAACAGTGGCGTAATTCATAAATTGAAATCAATTTTACCTAAAGGCATCCTTTTATTAATGTACTCAACATTAATCCTCCCCTATCTTAATTATGGTGTTCTTGCTTGGGGTAACTCTCTTAAAACTAACCTTGAAAAGTTATATTTGATTCAAAAGAGGGTCTTAAGAATTATTTGTAACGTTAGCTTTCGTACGCACACTAATCCGCTTTTTTATACGCATAGAATTTTAAAGGTGCAAGATATTTATCACCTTCAACTGGGTTCTTTAATGTACAACTTCGATTCTGGTGTCCTTCCACAGGCTCTAAATAGGAAAATGGTCCGATAGGTCAGAAATTATGATGCCAGCATCTGGAAAGGGTTGCAAATTAGTGAAGATATTGTCAATGAGAGTAGAGGAATTTTCAGACACTCTTGTAGGTTTAGTGATCAAAGGCATCAAGGAAAAGGACACCAACAGGTTCAAAAAGTCATCAATACAGCTATTTCCATCGCAAGTGAGCAGGTTCAGATTATAATCACCCATGAGAAAAATTGTCTTGTTATTAAGTAATGGATTTGACAGAATATTGTGTACCTCATCTATAAAGAGATTTAGATTACTTTGTGGCGGCCTATAAACGACACCTAAAACAACATTACGTTTTCCTGGTATGAAAACATCAACAAATATAGTTTCTAACACATCATTCATAATGGTAAGCTCATGACATATTTGGTAATCCATTACAGATGGAATGTATAAAGCCACCCCTCCACCTCTTTTATCTCGTCTATTATTAGAAACCAAATTATAACCAGGAATTAAATATAAGCTAGTATCGAATTCAGAAGGAAACCAGGTCTCAGAAACACCTATTGCTGTGAATCCTGATATACGCTTGGTGAAAACACTGAAATTTTCAAAATTCTTACACATACTACGTATATTCAAGTGAATTAAAGCAAGTTCATTACTCTCTGAACCACAGACCATATCAAAGAATTGCTTTTCGGTACAATAATTACAATTTATTGTAATTTGATCATCATTTTCATCATACTGTTGCAAGGTACTTGCATTGGATTCAAAAAAATTGCATGTAATATCATCATCAGTTTGGATCATATTGAGAGAGTAAGAAAAAAGATATTGTACTGTGTAACTGCGGTTCGTAATTCGGGTAGCAAACTGACATGAGATAGAGAGGATAGGAAATACACATTATATTATATAAAGCACCAATGTGCTTAGATTCCAAGGGAAAGGAGACAGCTTGAGAAATAAAATTCATGTTGAAATTAAATAGCAGAGAATGAAGGAGAAATAAAGTAGAAAAGTGGGGGAGATATATAATGAACAAAGGCAAGAAGAAAACAGTCTTTATATAAAACATATTTGCCATGAATAGGCTTAGTTGCAAGTAAGGAGTTACTATATAATCTGCGAAGTTCAGTCATAAGTTCGCAAGATCTTCCTCGCACGTAATCAGCTTTTTGGTTAGGCGACCATTGTCACTGGTATTGGCGAGACCGGCGAATATTCTGCCGTCAATACTCCAGGCCTTGACAGCTTTCTTGCAGTGCCTGACGGCATGGAAGAGCTTCTGCTTCCTGGCTGTCAAGTCCTCGTTGACATATATACCAGAGCCCTTGAGCTTCATCCTCGCTCCAATGAAAAGGGCTCTGGTACGGTACGATGAAAACTTTACAATGATAGATCGATCTGGCTTGTCACCACCAGCTGGCTTGGTACCCGGTCCTAGGCGATGAGTGAGGTCGATGTCGGATTGGGTCAGTTTAAGACCCATTCGTTGAGCAACCTTGCACACCACCTCCTCCGTCGACTCCCCAACCGTCTCCTCCATGCCGTGGATCCTTACATTATTCCGCCGCGAGTACTGATCCAAAGCGTCAAGCTTGGAATCGAGTATTCCAGCAGCATCATGGGTGCTTTCCTTAGCCTTCTTAAGCTGCTCGATCTCAGATGCTTGAGCTTTCACCTGCACCTCTAGCTCGAGCACCCTTGCTTCCTGCTCCTCAAGCCGGACAGCCAAACCAGCAACCGCCTCCCTGACGGCAGATTTAACTATAAGCTTAAAAGCGTCGCTGTTCTCTAGCTGACTAATAACATGCCGAGCTATGTCAGCTGAAGATTCTGATTTTTTTGGCGGCATTTTGACAGGGCGAGGAATCGAGGACTTAATGGGAATCAAAGAAACAAAACTAATAGCACAGGTGCGACAGTCCGAGAGCCTAGGGGTAGAAATAAGTGAAGAAGTGTCACATAGTTGCGGATGCACAGCAGATTATTATGAGGGGTTGCCGACTCCAGCTCCAGCCATTAAAAGTCGTAAAGTCGTAAAGTCGTAAATTCCACTAGCCACTACAGTGTTGTCAGCATTTTTAAGAAAAATAGTCAAGTTCATGACCATGCTACACGAAATGCCTCTGCGTTTCACTTACCCCAAGTAAGGACAAAGTTAACTTTTAATACTTTGGTTTTTACTGGACCTAAATTTTGGAACTCTCTAGGCTCTAGCGTTAAGCAATCTGTTAGTCTCTCTTCATTTAAGTGTAAACTTAAGGTTTATCTTCTCGATAAATACTGTGACTCATAGAGTAGTTCATTTTTGTAGTTATTATGGTGCCAAGATATATTATGTATTACTATAAATGTAAATTTTCTTCTTGATATTAATATGTGTCTAACTGAATATTTTCAGATTGTCAACCTCTTATTCCCTCCCCCTGTTGTATTGTGCCCGTTGTGTGCTGTGCCTATTGTCGATGTGCTGTATTCTTCTATTATTTCTCATATTTTCTCTTTTCTCCCGTCTTGTCTAGTCTAGTCTCTCTTTTTGTTGTTGTTGTTGTGTGTGTGTACACTTCTTGTTTTGTTATACCCCTTTTCCCTATTGTATTCTTAGGTAGTCACAAATATCTATTCATCATGTTTTATCCGGCTCAGAGGGGACCCTAATAATTACAAGCTCTGCTTTTACCAGGGTCTCCTCGTCTTTCTTTTAGTTAGCTATGTTTTTTATCATTATCATAATTTGTTATTTTGCTTTGTAAATGTGTTATGATCCAATGTTATGCTCTGTATGTCATTTGAAAGAAAGACGAATAAAATCTTATCTTATTATCTTACTCTGCCTCAGTCTGTGGCATATTAAGTTAGACGATTTTCATAAAGACTAGTAGTACGACAACAGTCGCCCTCTATCGGCCTCTTTCCAAAATATCAGTAGAGGGGTCTAAAACTGGTGAGGAAACGGCAGTTGAAATCTGCCTAAATTTCCGTAATCCTTTACTTGAAAATAAAAAAGTAGATATGATCGTAGAATTAATATATTATTGTACGATTGAGTTTAAGTAATTGCTATTTATTATTACATATTTCACTCGAAATCAATTCATGAATTATACCCACCCCCGTCAAACCTTTCATCGTAAACTTGATATCATGCGTGTTATGTAGTGAGACTGCGCTACACAAATAACACAGTCTCCGTGATCATCACGGAAAATTGTAACAAAGAACGTACATTATCTCTCAAGTTTCACAAAACAGATGACTAAAGTTTATAAAAACCTGTTAGGTTGAAGTGTCTAATTAATATTCACAGTCGGTACAGTTGTGACAGACACGATTTAACGAGCTACGGTCACTGGCAAACTGAGTCATTGAGCGTGAGTGAGAAAGAGAGATTGAGAAGTCGTGCACTGCAGAATAGTCGATGGACGGCAAAGCCTAGATCTGCGAGAGTGTGCATTGAACATTGTGGAGCAACACCTAACAGTTAGTCTAGACTATGTTGTGGTTACACTTCTCCAAATTTGCTTTTGTTTGACTTTATCTTAACTGAGGTCTATTTTGGGGGGAATCTACCTTTTTAAATTGAAATGTTCACAGACTTGGCACAGGTTGGCAGTAGCGCTGGTCCGAGCACGATGTGGATTGTTCGCACAAACAAGGATATTAAAATAAGGATTGTCCGCATTATCGTGGACGATTCTTATTTCCGTTCGGCATGTTGGCGATGTGTAAATCGGATTCCGCGATGATCCTCCTCCATACATTTAGGGTGTCTGAACGATTTTTCAAATTTCAATTTGGGATCGTTTTTCACCATTTTTGTTTGATAGATCTATTTGAATAAAAAATGTTATCAGAATAATACATTTCAAATTTCAAGTCTCACCGATGTTTCTATCAAAAGTTACAGCCCCTCCAACACGCTGGTATATTCATATCATTTTGGTCAAAATCGTCGAAAAAGACGTCCATGCAGAGTGATGTTGTTTTGCTAAATTTAGCCAAACAGCTGTATCGCGCGATATGCAAGCGTATGCATATCGTACGCATGCTGCTAAGCCAATCCGCGACTTGCAGCTTGAGCTACGCTGTCTCCGCGACATGTGCGATTGACTAGTATGGTTGGCGTTCGTCGCACAATAAACCCGGAAGTGAATGCACGTTATAGTCAATGGCAATATCGCGGAGACAACGCACGTTGTCTCCGCGATATTGCCATTGACTATAACGTGTATTCACTTCCGGGTTTATCGAGGGAATTTCCAACCATAATTTCAGTCACTATAATGTGTAATTGAATTTGGGGTTTCGTTCGTGCGCGGAGATGTTACGCGATGTAACCATGGTTTGGACTGAGCGGAGCGCACGCCCCCTAATTAGCTGATCCACCAAATAGCGATAAGGGTATTTTTAAACTGTTATCAGTTGTGATCCCTGGGGGCTAGCGAAAATATAATCACATAGAATTGTTCCTTAGGACTGGGACTACTTATCGATCGGGGCGTCATATCTCAAAAGTGACAAACCTCAGAGTTAGCCAGGACACAATGTTTAAATTGCTGTTTTGACCAAGATATTTTTAGAATTTCGGGGGCTACGCCCCTTTGGAAATATTGGAATTCACCTGCTCTTTCATATGACACCTCATTCATTGATTATCACCTTCAGGATCACAACTGATAAAGGTTTGAATCTCGATTTGAAAAAAAAAATTGACTTTTTTTGCATGGTCGCGCAATGCACGTAGGCTGCATAGGGATGCGTGTAATCTCTATGGGAAGAATTTTAGCACACAACATCGGGTGCGCGATCAGACACCCTACATACATTTCACATTGATTTTGTACAGAGACTTTCACGTTGATTTTGTACAGAGACTTTCACGTTATGAGTGATAAATCCTCAGGAAGACGGACGACCCGTAAAAGTAGATGGTAGAGCGCCAAAGAAAAAAAAAGTCTGCGAAAATGCAGACGATCCTTAGTTGTCAGGACGCGATTTGTACGCATCAACAAGGATATCTTCGTTTAAGCAGACGATCCTCATTCTCGGATCAGCACCCCAACTGTTCACCGTCTACGTTACTTTTACGGGTTGGCCGTCTTCACGAGGAGTTATCGTTCATAACGTGAAAGTCTCTGTGCTGCGTCAATGAGAAATGCATCATGGAGCATCATTGCGGAATTCATTTTTTGCCTAGCCAACTCACCGATCGTTAATAAGGACCGTCCACGAAAATTTGGATGATCCTTAATTTTAAGGACGCAATTTGCGGACGATCCTTATTCTCGGACCAGCGCCCCTACTGTTAACTGGGAATAATATAGACCTATGTTTTGTTTTGTTGTCTCCGAACCTAAAATACTGGGGGTGGAGGCTTGTGTAATTACTCTTAGTCTTACATGTACGTTTGATTTGAATGCAGGTGCACTCGCGAAAATTAAAGATCACATATGGAAAAAACATGTCCTCAAATTTCGAAAGCAGTGTTAAAATCTAATTATAATTCTTAATTTTTTCCCATACAGGTCCACTCACTGAACCAACGATACCATGGGGGCCTACAAGTACATGTCCGAGGTATGGCGTAAGAAGCAGAGCGATGTGATGAGGTTCCTCGTCCGAGTCAGGACCTGGCAGTTCCGTCAGCTGTCGGCCATCCACCGAGCCACCAGGCCCATGCGTCCAGACAAAGCAAGGAGCATGGGATACAGGGCCAAGCAGGGTGAGTAAAGTACAATGCAGGATCCAAACGAACAAGAAAGTGCCCCATCCCGCCCCCCCCCCTTTTTTTTTTTTATTTGGCCATAATTTGCAATAAAAATAAACGTTTATTTAAAACATGGTTTAAACCCTCACAAGTCTTAGATATCGAGCGTGTTCGCATCCAGTTCTTGCATGAGCAATTATTTACACGTCTACGTTTTTATGCTGATTTAAATCATGGTTTAAATCTAAATTGAACCTCCTCTGTGAATTTGCCAATAGGACCTCTTTTTTTTTTCCAATCCTCCACCGGAAAAATGCCAAAGGCAAGCTTGGCTATTTTCGAAATAACTGTCTCTTTGATCATAGAAATTTGACTTAATATCTGCTACATGCAACAGAAACCAAAGCCAGCAAAATTGTTGCCGTTAAGGAAAAAGAGAAATTACAGGCAACCAATTTTTATTCTGTTGAATCTGTAAAATGTTATATTGGATAGTTGCTATAACCTGGGGGGTGTTTCCCAAAGACTCAGATCGATTTTAAGTTGGACTTATTTATGGCAGGCCTTTCATGCCACAAGTTTTTCTAACCATTCCTGGCATTGGTTTCTCAAGGGACGTACACATCATCATCACAAATCTACAGAATTTACATTTTTAATGGTGAAAGCAACCAGTAGCATGAACCGTAGTTAAGTCCAACTTAAAGTCGATCTTAATCCTTGTGGAACACTCCCCTGGATCACTTTAAAAAGTTAAAGTGACTATCAAGCGTCCATTTCTTTGCCTTCTAGGATACGTTATCTACCGTATCCGTCTTCGCCGTGGAGGTCGCAAGAGGCCCGTGCCCAAGGGAGCCACCTATGGCAAGCCCACCAACCAGGGAGTCAACCAGCTCAAGTACCAGAAGTCTCTCCAGTCCACCGCTGAGGAGCGTGTCGGACGCAGGTGCGGTGCCCTCCGTGTCCTGAACAGCTACTGGATCTGTGAGGACTCAACCTACAAATACTTTGAGGTGAGAAGTGGTTGATGGAATTGAATCAAATTGATTAAATTGATTTACTTCCATATTTCCATAAAAGAAATTAGAAAACGATATACAAAGCAATCATTTAATTCAATTCAATTCTTTTATTCATCCAAATTCACAAGAATACTTTGAAATTTGTTTCGGTTACACATTGTAAAGATATGAAATATATATGAGAAATTACATCAAAGAAATTACAGAAATAATTATTAAGAAATACAGAATAACAGACTACAAACAAATTAATGTCAATATATAAAGGGATTCTAAAAAGTGAATACCCCCTAGTCTCTAAGAGAGTCTTTGGGTAGGCGAAAAGTGAGATATAAGGGTTTTACCACAGGGGGAATGCAAGGCATTTCATAAAGCCTGTTGGTCATAAAACTAACCCTGTAAGTTGGGGCTTTGATCGGATCGGAAGATCGGAGCGACACCCTCGCACATTTGATCGGTAGCGGCAAAAAAAAAAAAAAAAAATTTTAAATGCCAAAAATTTTCAAGTTTTTGGCTATCACTCTAAAAAAATTCATAGCTGGGATTATTTTGTCATTTGGAGTTGTTAACCATGTTTGTTGATATCTAGTGCCTTTTCATGACGTTGAAATTAACTCGATTCAATTTATATATAAATCTAGAATATTATTAGTATCCTGTTAACGCTCTTTTCTCTCTCTGTGTATGACAGATCATCCTTATTGATCCAATGCACAAAGCCATCAGACGAAACCCAGACACTCAATGGATCACAAAGTCAGTCCACAAACATCGCGAATGCCGTGGACTCACCTCAGCCAGTAAGTCGTCTTCTACATCTAATTGTTTAGTACTCATAAGATATGTCATCAGCTCGAGATTTGCCAAATAGCCCGCTATTTCTGATTTGGGAAATAATCCCGAATTTACAAATTGCGTCTCAGCTCGAGACTCGACCTCAAAACTTGAAACTCGAGCTTGAGATATTTTGCTCAGCGTTCGTGCATAGTTTGAGTCTTCGGGCTGGTGAATACGCACTGGAGAAATAGCGGAATATTTTGCAAACTAGCCCAAGATATCTTGGGATGGTTTTGGGGGCAAATATTCCGCTAATTGCAACTTCAGGCTGATGGGATAGTTAAAATAGCGGGATAGTTAAAATAGCGGGATATTGGGCAATGTCGAACTGATGAGGACAGGCCTTTTGTATGCCACACAGCTCGTCTCCCGATGCCAAAGTATATTGACCAGGGGATAGAAATACCAAAGGCTTCAAGATTATTTGGTTGTCTTGGAGCAGACAAAGACTAGAAATTTGCAATTTTGCAAAGCCTTCGTTTGTGTTGCAAAAAGCAATCCTAACATGTACATCAATGGTGTCAAATGTTTTGTCCAAAACTGCACATATTGCGAACAAGAGACTGTGCAGAGAGGCGAAGAGAGCAACAAAAATATTAAAGGGCTAGTGAGACCTTACTGATATTAATAAATTGTTCACAAATCACTCCCCTTCTTGCATACAAAGTCTTTCATCATATTTATAGGTCAGATCTCAAGATATTTGATGAGCTTCCCTCAACGATTTTATTGCCTCTTTGAAAATGTTCGGCCACTGAATGTTCAAAATGGTGTTGGCAGTATCTCTTGTACTTTAAAGAGAGAGAAGGGTAAACTAACGTTTGCTCCCCACATTGTCAATTTTCAGAGCCAGAAATGCTTCAACAGGTCGTGAAACTATATAAATGCAATTAACCCTATTCTGGTTAAAAAGTTAGGGGTTTGGATCGCAGTGGGGATGCTCCGATTAGTTTACTTTATGGTTCACCAATTGTTGAAGTTTGTTCCCCCTCTCGAACAAGTTTAAAGTAGTCCTTCCAATGTCAAAACAAGAAAGAGACATCTCTCTTCTCTGCACTCTATCTACATTCCAAGTGTCCTTACCAACACTACACATGGTGAACAGTATTGTGTTTGCTACATTGATGACCTGTTCATTTTGCTACTAAGTTCACTTTCCCACGGCTTAGTGTCTAGAGCCTTAACCCCCATTAATCCATGTGTACATAAACACCAGCTACATCCAGCTGTGTCTATACCACCAGTGCCACCCTGTATATTATGATGTTATGTAACCAAGATTGAGATGCTGTATATCATGAGGAGTACGGTTGAGAATAAAGCACTCTTGCACCCAGACACCAAGCAATCGAGTCATGCCTGATTTTGTAGTCAAGTTGTTATAGCACAGAATAGAAGAACACAAAATTGGCGACGAGGATGTCTACCTACGGCCTATCCCAACCTGCACCTTTCGATGCCAGTTCTGCCAGAGCCTCAAACGCTTGGCAGACATGGAAAACGGCATTTGAATATTATCTTCTGGCTTCGCAAGTCTCGGACGATAAAGTCAAAAGGGCTATACTCCTTCACTGTGTAGGCCCTAGTGTGCAGCAACTCTTTGCAACGCTTGATGGGACTGGAACAACTTATGCATCAACGCTACAGTCCTTAACTAAGTATTTTGAGCCCCAGAGAAATGTCGTTTTTGAGAGACATTTGTTTCGACAGTGCTCCCAGCACAGCGGTGAGTCCACTGATGATTACTATTTCCGTCTTAGAACTTTGGTTGCTTCATGTGAATACGGTAATCAGACGGACGATCACATCCGTGATCAATTTCTCGATCAGTGCTCTTCCAAATCGCTTCGACGACGTCTGCTGCGAGAACAGGACCTAAAACTTTCAGATCTCCTCTTAATTGCCCGAGCCACAGAAGCAGCAGACAATCAGGCCTCTTCCATGGAGATGTCTAACTCTCCCTCGTTCTCCGTCAACGATGTTCGAGCACGGCAACATCCACACCCACCACCAGCTGGAGAAAGTCAGCATTTCGATTCTCAGCGCAGCTTCCCACCTCCACGACGAGGAAATCCACGAGAGGAAGGAGGTAACCATGGTTACGACAACCAGAACCCTTCTCAGCAACCTCTACGCTGCACGAACTGTGGGCTCAACGGACATCGTGCCCGCGATCCTAGCTGCCCTGCTCAAGGACAACAATGCAGGCAATGTCAGATAATAGGACATTTCTCTCGAGTTTGTCGCAGCTCTGCTCTAAACACCGTTGCAGTAGATCAGCCATTTCACTCGGGAATTCCAGATGAGAGATCCATGAATGTTCCGCGAGATGATGATGAAACTGTGTTCACAGTTGGCGGTACTGAGACGCCCACACGGGTCGACATCGTAGATATCGGCGTCGACATGCTGGTCGATACGGGATCGTCGGTGAATATCATTGATTCTTCGACATATAACTGGATGAGAGGCCGGACATCTTCGAATGACATCCGGTTGGCCCCCAGTTATGCTAGACTCTTCCCATACGGTGTCAAGACTCCACTACCCGTGAGGGGAGAGTTTCATGCTCGGATTTCCTGCTCGACGGGGACTTCGACGACTGCTCGATTCATTGTTGCAGAAGGAAACAGCGGATGTCTTCTAGGGAAGAAGACAGCGATACTACTCCGGCTAGTTAAACTAGTTAAACTTGAGGATACTAGTGCTGTTCACATGGACACTCAGCGCCCTGCTCATCGAGAGAATGATATCAGCTCCGCTCCCATGCCCAACGAAGCTCATCAAGAAGCGAGTCGCAACTACAACGCAATGAAAGGAAAGAAACGAAGGCAACGAAGGCAATCACGAGACATTAATTGTGGTGATCGTGTCATAGTTAAGAGAATGTCAGATAGGTTTTCCCCTCGCTTTGACCCAAGTCCATGGGTCGTAGTTGGAAAGAAGGGGGGAAGTGTGAAGATCACAAGAGGAAATCAAACAACAACGCGATACATGTCACAAGTAAGGACAATTCCGATCGCATGAACATTAGAACAGAGGACTCAAACAATGAACTTATAGTGAACTCTATTATTATGCATATAACTTGTAATGAACATATAAATGCAGTCTTTAGTTTAGAGAGATGTATTCTCGTATCGCGGTGACCGACCACTACTATAATGTTATGTCTTAATCCGAAGACTAAATTCAAGGATCGAGTTTCTGTTTAACTCTACCTTTACAAATTGCCTATTCATTTTGTATTCCTATCTCTCTAAACTCTGATGTTCTTTTTCTGTGCTATCCACTTCTTTCACACATGTAATAACCATATATTATGCTCAAATGTTACCAAACTGATTTTGTTACCTTGTATCATAAGTTTTGTTTTTGCTATCATACTGATTTTATTACCTTGCGTTATAAGTTTCGTTTTTACTTCATAAGATGTCGTTTTGCAAAAAGAAATAATTTTGTCAACATTGTTTCGCAACCTAAATATAATGTATTTTGATGTATACTTTTAAATCTGAGAAAAAGAGGGATATTGTGTTTGCTACATTGATGACCTGTTCATTTTGCTACTAAGTTCACTTTCCCACGGCTTAGTGTCTAGAGCCTTAACCCCCATTAATCCATGTGTACATAAACACCAGCTACATCCAGCTGTGTCTATACCACCAGTGCCACCCTGTATATTATGATGTTATGTAACCAAGATTGAGATGCTGTATATCATGAGGAGTACGGTTGAGAATAAAGCACTCTTGCACCCAGACACCAAGCAATCGAGTCATGCCTGATTTTGTAGTCAAGTTGTTATAGCACAGAATAGAAGAACACAAAAAACAGTAAAGCAAGGGAGTGTTTCATAAAGACTAAGATCGATTTTAAGTTTGATTTAACTATGGCAAGCTGCTCATTCCACTGTTTGCTTTCACCATAATGATCGTTAGATAATATTTTTTCCTTCAATAATGAATTATCAAAAAATATTCATTCTGTTGATTTGTGACCATGATTTGTACGCCCTTTGAGAGACCATTGCCAGTAAATGGTGAGAGCAAACAGTGACATGGACGGCCTGCCATAGTTAAGTCTAACTTAAAATTGATCTTAATCTTTGTGAAACACTCACCAGAACAGTGTTCTCAACCTTTTCTCTGAATTTCCTCATGATTATACTATTCCCTAACGCATCATTTCTATTTTCTTCTTGTTGCATACAGGCAGGAAGAGTCGTGGTCTTGGCAAGGGACATCTTTACAAGCAGACTTCAGGTGGTTCCAGGAAGGCATCCTGGAAACGCAGGAACCTCCTTCGTCTCCGAAGATACCGTTAGAACTCACTCTCAAACTCACTCTCAAACTCGTCCACAAGTCACCCACACCCTCAACAGCAATTCTATACCGTGTCAAGAAACCAAAGTCACTGGAAATCTCGCTGAACGCTTCAAAGCCTTTTGTGCAGTTCTTACCGAATGCTTCGAAGTCCTTTGTGCAGTTCTTACTGCTTCTGCAACACTTATATCTGGACTCGCTTGCGCACTTTCAGTACTTCTGGAGATCTTGGTTGCGACGGCACAGTTCACCAGGACCATCTACACTCGTCTTGTTACACCTCTCAATACGCTCAGAACCCATGGTACTGGAGTACTTACCAAAGCCGATTGTCGTCACAAAAAACATGAGGAACTCTTGGTTTTGATAAGTTTATTCTGAAATTAAAGCCTGAATAAATACAGGAATCATCGTATATAGTACTTCATTGTCTGATTCGCCTTCTCATTGCTTTTTATTTTATTGTATTTAATTGAATTGAGTTGTGTTATATTGGTATTTATTCAAAGAATTCCACATGGCAGCCCAAGGGCTGAATACGCAAGTTCGTAAATAGCTCTGGACCGCATCACCCCAAAATATATCTTAGACACGATGGATACTTCCCACGTGGTGCATAAATGAATACTGATTACATAACTGTCACGAGTATGATCCGAGTATTTGTCTCAATGGTTCTACAATTTGGGTACGAATGACCTTTATCTGCCCATGCGCAAATCCTAATTACGAACTCGCTTATTACATTGATTTTACAAGGTAAAATGACAAAAGACAAAATGTTTTACAAATGTATACATAATTTACATATACCATAGTAATACAATAATATAATGATATGAACTTAAGAAGGAGAGGAACAGAGTGGGAAAGAGAGAAAAATAGAGACGAGACTGAAAGGAGAGAACGAGAAACAATGATATTGAGACGGAAGTGGGCATTCTTGAGGAAGAGATTATAAATTTCATACTAAATGAGAACATTGATCAACTAAATAATCATCTATTGTGATCTGGTTCGACTTAACTTTTTAAAATTATGAGTGCTATGGGTTAATCCCTCGGCTTTGTAATGAACAGTGAAATTGAATAAAAACTAACACTACTTCTTACCAACAAAGTCTAGTGCAAAGGGAATATTATGGAAACTTAATCATGCAGCAAGTAGTAGGTGGCTTGGTGAATTAAAACAAGTCGCATTCACATTTTTTTTTTAACACAACTTGACAATGATAGGTACTGTAAGATGTACTGTAAGATGTACATTGGGCTTTAATATTTCACATTCTCAAGAAACATATATCGATACTTTAACAAAAAATTACAAACACTTGGTAAGGTTGGATCATCTAAATAATAACGAAAAAACTTTTAAAGGTAAAGACCAGTATTGGAAACGCCCCAATTTCAAAAAATGAAATGGAAGCTGTCATTACCAATCATGTGGAAGAATATGTTTTGACTAATACATGATAAAAAATTTGCCGGGAAACCGCCTACTAATTCATATATTTGGTAAATTTGTTTCTCTCATGGTCTGTGAGAGATATAGGGTAGTCCCATATACATCTTTCTGTGAATGGTGCTTGTAACTTTACAAAGAATGGGCCAAATTTCTTATCATTTTGATTCCAGAACCTTGCAATCGCATGACCATAACTGGTCTTTACCTTTAAGGATTTCTTCTCGATCAAACCGGTGGAAACTAACGGAAATCATAATAAAGAGACAACAGAATTTTCTCATCATACTGCCATAGCTTATTTATTGACAATAACAATGAATCAAAATTGTTCTTTTTTGGCACTACATGTATAGGTTTTCATCTTGATGTAATAACCACACACAAATATATTTCAAGATACCAGTAATTACCTATCTTCGTAATTCAAACATTTAATGCTGGATTGAAGGAAAAAAACAAGCATTGGTTTGTCACAAAAACGTTCCATGCAGCTATTGCAACTGATTAAGATGGATATGGGTGCATTTTCAAGATAATTATCTATCTTTGTGATTCATACATTTCATGTTGAATTTTAAAAAAAAGAGCATTCCTTTGTCAAATAAATGTGAAATGCAACCATTGCAACATAATGTGGATTTGAGCGCATATGGCACTTAAAGAATCAATCAACTAATTTCAGCAAATTTCAGATAAATCACAAAATCTTATATGACCACACACTCGCGAATGCACTCGAACATACCAAATTAATTATATGTACTGTACTAACAGCAAATTTCACATTGATTTCAAAATTAAATGAGGGAAGATAAAGCCTGTGCAGAGACTACATTTGTTCATAATAGTCAAGACCATGATATACAGTCGAACCTGCTTCAGTGACCACCTGTCTACAAAGACCATGTTTTGTGTTTCCCTTGAAAATGGTTTCTCATATAAACATGTACTCAAGGAGCCTGTCTTCAAAGACCACGTTTTGTGTTTCCCTTGGGCTTTCGCTATAAACAGGTTTGACTGTATATCAATTCACAGGTAACGTCCCTTGTTCAGATGAGTACCGGTAAAGTAAATAATGAACATAATCAAAAAATGTAAGTATTATTCTAATAGAAGATGTCTTGGACCCCAAAGTTGGTCTATTTTGTTAAGAGATTTCCACTGAGACTACGCCTGGCTATGTGAAATCCTGGAGGAGAGCCTCAAACGTCAAAATATGTTATAAAATCCTCCAGCCATACAGATTTTCTGTCTAGGTATGCCCATGTTCTTGTGTGACTATAAACCTACCAAAGGATGAGAAAAGTAGTAATGTTTCACATGATTGTTATTCAAATCTTGTTTTTACAAAATTCATTCATAATGAGTTGTCTTATTTCAGTGTTCTAACATTTCATGACTAAAAAAAAAAAAAAAAATTGTCCAGGTTTGACCTAATTTCATGGAAAGATGGAGAATTGATAATTGGCTATGCCAGAAATATATAAGGAAGACACCAAGCAAAGATATAGAGAACTATATATTTTTTTTAATTAAAAAAATTGGCTTAGCCAGTACTATACTCAATAAAACAATTAGCAAAGGGCTTTACAAACCAACTACACAACTTAAGGACATTCCTCAGTAATGTGTGTGCGCACCTTAGCTGTTTTTACTATACCAGAAACACCAGGCATTGTGCCTGTTAAGGTACACACAAACATTAATGCGAAAAATCCTTAATATAAAACTATCAATTACGCCTGTCAGCAAGTAGATATTTAACATAGTTGCTAAAGCCCTAAAGATAATCTGACACACATTGATTTCAGTAAGTAATTTTCAAAACACTCATGATTTTTCGCTAAGGGTGCAGTTATAAGGAAACGGGAGTTAACATGTACTCAGGTCCAATGACTGTATCTACATGTATACATGTAGGAATTTTGTTTAAAGGAAGACAAAATCACAATCCAAAAATAATCAAATACATTTCATATATACTCTCTCTTCGCATATCTACAAAGTGCTCCACACAATGCTCTACATACATGTACAGTTGAACCTGTCTTAGTGACAACCTCTCTAGAAAAGCCACCTGTCTATAAAGGCCATGTGATTTGTCTCCCTCAAGAAAGAAATGTTTTGTAGAACCTTTCTAGAAAGGCAACCTGTCTTTAGTGGCCATGTATTTTGTCTCCCTCAACAAAGAAATGTTTTAAAGAACCTTTCCACCTGTCTTTAGTGGCCATGTATTTTGTCTCCTATAAGAAAGAAATGTTTCAAAGAACCTTTCCACCTGTCTTTAGTGACCATGTATTTTGTCTCCCTCAAAAAAAGAAATGTTTTGTAGAACCTGTCTAGATAGGCCACCTGCCTACAATGGCCACATTATCCGTTTACTGTGAGTGGTCTTAATAGACAGGTTTGACTGTACATGTATTAGGGACACTTCAACATCTTCATGGTCAGCTGTCAAGTTTAAACACAATGAATTTAAAATGAACAGCAGACAGGCATCTGTCTTAAAAATAAACATGATCACTCTAAATTCCTTTACAATAGCAATTCTTGCCATTGCATGGGATACTGTTTGTTGCCAAATTTTATAGATCTTTTTTTTAATTTTGATAGTATTTTGAGTATTATGAGTTGTCATGGTTGTTCACCTTACAGACTTTTTTAGTCATTTGTCCACTTCTGTACCCTTATTTTTGTGGAAAAATAGATGAAAAGATGAATTTATGAAATAATTTAGAGTTAACTTTAGGTAACATGTGAAAAAATTTAAAATTCTCACACTAAAAACAAAGAAAACTCACACTGCATGTTACAAATTCAATAAGTCCGCCACAAATTCAATAAGTCCGCCACAAATTCAATAACTCTGCCACAAATTTATAGTACTTCAGAAATATGACAGAATATGACCTAAGAATACAGAGCAGAGAAGACCTAAAGCCACATAGTATTTTCTATGATCATAAATAGCCGACATTAGATTTGGTTGAATTACCAATGAATGTGTATGTGTGTGCAAAGGTCTCTGAAGCAGCGAACCTGTTGTCCCAACAGAAAATACTCCAACCTGCCTGTTTCTCAAGTGTGAGGGAAATTTGATCTATTTGATGTCTATGATGGGAATCATATATGGTAGCAGGCTAGGGCACAATGCATTACACAAGACCTGTCTATCGTAAAAGTGAAGTCCACTCTTGGTGAATAATGACACCTATTATTTGGTAAAACACCAGAAAGGTGTCAAATTCCCCATTAAAACGCACTCCTATGCGTTAAAACAAAACAGTACGGGCTTGTGAATATTGGTCTTTTCTAGACTAGTTGGGGTTTTGCAGCAAATATCAAATTTTATCTACTCTATAATGGTCCCAATAATCTGATAATATAATACTTTTTTATATACAATATGCTTTCAGATATATCTTGGTATAACAGGCAGATATTTTAATAATCAAGTTTTATTAACTACTTGACTACAGAATTTCTGTTCCAATAGGCTTAATACTGGGATCACATGGTACCAGCAGGCAATGTGTTAACTCGGTGACTACTGAATTCTCTTAACCCCATAGGCTTAATACTGGGATCACCAGGATCATGTAGGCAATGTGTTCACACGTTGACCACTGAATTCTCTGATCCCCATAGGTTTAATACTGGGATCACCTGGTTCCTGTAGGCGATGGGTTAAGATTACAATCCATGCTTCACGATGTCATCTTCCAGGGCGAGGACTATACACACTCTGCTAGGGATGTACACCTAAGAATGATAAAGAAAGACAATCCATAATTAGTTTGATCAGAAAGGAATTCCAGTTCCTTTTCCTTATTTCTTGACCTCAATTGCATGAATGTTATATCGTTTACTCAACTTTCCAGATTTCTATTTTTTAATTTATTTACCAAAGTGGCATGCTCACCTAAAGATAATATCTTCTCCCAGGCTATCCATCGCTTGAGGTGAAGTTGACAGCTGAGGGGTCAAGTCTATTGTGACCTCTGACCTTTGACACAGGTCAGAATGCCTATTTACTAATGTGTGATGCTTACCTGAAGAGAATTCATTCTCCCACCATATCCATCCTTAGAGGTGAAGTGGACAGCTGAGGGGTCAAGTCTATTGTGACCTCTGACCTTTGACACAGGTCAGAATGCCTATTTACTAATGTGTGATGCTTACCTGAAGAGAATTCATTCTCCCACCATATCCATCCTTAGAGGTGAAGTGGACGGCTGAGGGGTCAAGTCTATTGTGACATTTGACCTCTGACACAGGTCATAATGCCTATTTGCTAATGTGTGACATGCTTACCTGAAGAGAATTCATTCTCCCACCATATCCATCCTTAGAGGTGAAGTGGATTGCTGAGGGGTCAAGTCTATTGTGACCTCCAAACTCTGAGCAGTCTGAGTTCAACACCATCTTGTATCTGGACACGACAAGTCAAGGTTAAAGGTCATGCAGAGAGGTTTAAAAGTCAGATGGATTAAGTCATTTTTAACACAATTTCTTTTAAATATTTCTGTAACTATTTTGTTGTATTTTTTACTACTCCTTTTGGTCTTAACATCATTTCACATCAAAATAATCATACTCCATTACAATTTCATTTCAGTTGAAACATTATTATATCATGAGATAAATACGTTTCATGACAGATGCCATTTGTGTGAAATATAATTAGTATTGGTATGAAATATGAATTAATATGTATTCTTTTATTTGTGTCTTCATTGTGTGCATCACACCCGAAATGGAATTAATTAAAAATATAATGTAAAGATTGCTCTAGGGCCTAATCCAAATCCTAACCCAAACCAAACCCTAACCCCAACTGTAACCCTGACCTTAACCAATTCCCAATCTAACTCTGACCCTAAACTTAAAATTATACACACCCTAACCCTAAACAAAGCCTTTGCTCCAACCCAAATCCAAACCATAACCCCAACTAACCCTGAACATGACCCACACCCAAGCTCTAATAGCATTGCCCATCCGCAGTCAAGCCGAAGAAGCAAGGGATTACAAGTTTGTCAAGGATACTTTCCAGAAAGGTCTACACTGACCCTGTAGTCTGGGAAGCTAACCCTGATCTTAACCCTAATCCCAAATCTAACCCTGACCCTAAACCTAAAACTAACCCACACCCTAACTCTAATTATATTGCCCTGATGCATGCTTGGGTATTCCGAAGAAGCAGTTTGTCAAGGATACTTTCCGGGTAGGTCCACGCCGACCTTGTAGTCTGGGAAGCTCTTGGAGCAGTGGAAATTGAAGATGAAAAGCAGACGAGCTCGCTCAAAGGCAATCACCTTGTCTTCTTCATGTTTCCAGCTTATATAGGCCTGCATTGAAAAAAAATGTTATAATTCTTAGAATAATTTTGCTCCTCTCCCCCCCCCCCCCCCCCCCTCCCAGAAATAAGGAAAACAATGCTAATAGTATTAAATAATGACAAACCTGGGATTAGCTAACCAGTCAAATTCTCATCTAGGTGGTTCACGGCCCTGTCAAAGTGAACTACATTGAAACTGTAATCACTATCTGCTCTCTGAATAACTATCACAAGGACTTATTAACCATTCTGAGTTGAATATTTACTAACCGCTAACTTGCTAATCAATCAGAGTTACCAACCTGTGGACTAGCTATCCTATCAAACATCTCTTCTGGGTGGTTCATGGTTCTGTCAAAGACGTTTAGGAAAGCAACTATCCTGAGGATTTACTAACCAATATTTGAATAATAACTAACCTAACTAAGAATAGTTACTAACCGGTTAACTTACTAATCAATCTGAGTTACTGACCTGTGGACTAGCTAACCAATCAAACTTTTTGTCCAGGTGGTTCATTGCCCTGTCAAAGCTGTATAAGAAAGCAACTATCCTGAGGATTTACTAACAAATATTTGAATGATATCTAACCAGAGGACTTAATAACCAGTCAGAGCTGAATAGTAACTAACTGGTTAGCTTACTAACCACTCTGAGTTACCAACCTGTGGACTAGCTAACCAATCAAACTTCTCTTCCAGGTGGTTCATTGCCCTGTCAAAGCTGTATAAGAAAGCAACTATCCTGAGGATTTACTAACAAATATTTGAATGATTAGTAACCTCAAGACTTAATAACCGGTCAGAGCATCAGCTGAATACTAACTAGTTAACTTGCTAACCAATTTCATTTACTAACCTGAGGGCTAGCTAACCAATCAAACTTCTCATCCAGGTGGTTCATGGCCCTGTCGAAACTGTTGAGGAATCGGTACCTCAGCACATCATCATCTACGAGATTCCACTGCCTCCTAGCGTAATGGTAGCTATTGTTGTTCCCTGGTCTTGGAAAGTCAAGCCATTCAGGGTGTCCAAACTCATTCCCTAAAAGAAAGAAACAAGAATTACATCCAATAGGGGAGTAATTAATACTCCTACTAGATGAGGCAAGTAACACACAACCACAAAAACATGGGGAGTGATAGCTGCAGTCAAACCTGCTTTAGTGACCACCCGTCTACAAAGACAACATTTTTTGTTTCCCTTGAGAAATGGTTTGTCATTGAAACATGTACTAAAGGACCTGTACATAAAGACCCCCTGCCTATGAAGACTAATTTTCTTGTCTCCCTTGGGTGGTCTTTATATAGACAGGCTTCACTGTACTACTATTGCTTTGTCTCTGGAAATTAAGCCATTCAGGTTGATATAACTAATTCCATGAAAATTACAATTGCCAACGTTCTAGAAAATCTGTAATTTAGAAATTTTTCAACAAGTTGCCAATTTTACATATTCTGATGTTTTTCTTTTCTAAAGATTGCGAGTGATGCATTTTCAATTTTTTTTTTTTACTTTGTAAAAATTTTCACACTTCAAACATACATTACTGCATACAGAATATGAACAAAACCATTTAATTGAATTCAATTGAACGGAACTGCCTTGAAATGAATTGCACGGAACTGAATTGAACTGAAATGAAAAGAATTTTATTGAAATTACTTGAAATCCATTGAAATGAACAAAAATAAGAATAAATTGAACTGAACTGAATTGAATTGAGCTGGATTGAATTTATTTCAATTGCATTCATTTGAAACTGCACTGAAGTTATTTTGATTACATTCATTTGAACTGCATTGAAGTTTAATAATTTGATTGCATTCATTAGAACTGCAATGAAGTTATTTTGATTACATTCATTTGAACTGCATTGAAGTTTAATAATTTGATTGCATTCATTTGAACTGCATTAAATTGAAGTGAAATGAAATAAACTGAATTGAATTGCACTGAATGGTATTGAACGTACCTATGAAATTAAGCCACGCCTCCCCTCCTAGAGCATGCGTAATAAGCCGAATACATTTATGCAGCGCCATCCCGCGATCAATCACGTCCGTCTGAGGCGACAACACAGACATGTTTGTATACATCTCCTTGTCCATGAGCCAGAATGCGATCGTCTTGTCGCCAACGAGGGCCTGGTCGTGACTCTCGGCGTAAGCTATCGTCCTCTCGCCATGGCGACGGTTGATGAGGGTCCAAACGATGTCACCGATGTTCCAATCTTCGTCTTGGGTCTCCTTCAGAAGCTGGAAAAATGAGATGATGGAATGTAATCAGTGCTGAGAGTTTGATGTCAAAATGAGATGACGGAATGTAATCAGTGCTTAGAGTTTGATGTCAAAATGAGATGATGGAATGTAATCAGTGCTGAGAGTTTGATGTCAAAATGAGATGATGGAATGTAATCAGTGCTTAGAGTTTGATGTCAAAATGAGATGACGGAATGTAATCAGTGCTTAGAGTTTGATGTCAAAATGAGATGATGGAATGTAATCAGTGCTGAGAGTTTGATGTCAAAATGAGATGATGGAATGTAATCAGTGCTTAGAGTTTGATGTCAAAATGAGATGACGGAATGTAATCAGTGCTTAGAGTTTGATGTCAAAATGAGATGATGGAATGTAATCAGTGCTGAGAGTTTGATGTCAAAATGAGATGACGTAATGTAATCAGTGCTTAGAGTTTGATGTCAAAATGAGATGATGGAATGTAATCAGTGCTGAGAGTTTGATGTCAAAATGAGATGACGGAATGTAATCAGTGCTTAGAGTTTGATGTCAAAATGAGATGACGGAATAGTATCAGTACTGAGAGTTTGATGTTAAAATGAGATGACGGAATGTAATCAGTACTGAGAGTTTGATGTCAAAATGAAATGATGGAATGTAATCAGTGCTGAGAGTTTGATGTCAAAATGAGATGACGGAATGTAATCAGTGCTTAGAGTTTGATGTCAAAATGAGATGATGGAATGTAATCAGTGCTGAGAGTTTGATGTCAAAATGAGATGATGGAATGTAATCAGTGCTGAGAGTTTGATGTCAAAATGAGATGACGGAATGTAATCAGTGCTTAGAGTTTGATGTCAAAATGAGATGACGGAATAGTATCAGTACTCAGAGTTTGATGTCAAAATGAGATGACGGAATGTAATCAGTACTGAGAGTTTGATGTCAAAATGAAATGACGGAATGTAATTAGTACTGAGAGTTTGATGTAAAAATGAGATGACGGAATGTAATCAGTACTGAGAGTTTGATGTCAAAATGAAATGACGGAATGTAATCAGTACTAAGAGTTTGATGTAAAAATGAGATATAGTATCAGAACTGAGAGTTATATCATTCAATTACCTTGATCCATTTATCTGGTATAGCCATTGCTAGTCTGAAATCAAAACCGTATCCTCCTTCTTCTATTGGACGACAAAGAGCTGGCATTCCGGATACTTCCTAGGAGATAGAAAAGTCATGAAATTCAAGCAAACACAAGTTCTGGTCATCACGTAAAGGTGCATGATAATTTTCATAGAATCAATCAAAACTGGCTGGAATGCTGCCCAGGGAGTGGAGAATGTGCACTGTAATAGATGCAGAATCGTAAATGAATCCTAAGACCAGGGTAATAATACTGTAAGCAATTTGGACTGTTACAATGTAACCAGTAAGGCGCTATATATGTAACAGTAATTCTTATTATTTTAGCGAGTGTACATAAAAGTTGAAAGAAAATTATATTTGCTAACAGGATTTAGGGTAGTACTAACAAGACCTATGATTGGTTGGACATACATTATGCATAACGATTAAACCCTAGGGCAGCATCTAACATGAGCTCTTGTTGGCTAGATAGATTCCCAGGGTAGCATTTATAATTACCTCAGCTATTGTGACGATCCCCGGGAAGAGTTTGTGCAGCATGTGATTGGCTAGGGTTAGGTAGGTCAGAGCTTCAGTGTCAACTGCAAGCCCAAAGTAATCGCTGTAGTCACCACTAAAACCAGTACCTAGGGTTAGGAGAGAGAGAGGGAGGGAGTGAGGAGAGAGAGGGAGAGAGAGAGAGAGAGAGAGAGAGTGAGGAGAGAGAGAGAGAGGGGGAGGGAGTGAGGAGAGAGAGAGAGAGAGAGAGAGAGAGGGAGAGAGTGAGGAGAGAGAGAGGGGGAGGGAGGAGAGAGAGAGAGAGAGAGAGGGAGGGGAGAAAGACAAGCAGACAGACAGAGAGAAGAGAGGTGGATAGGGAGAGAAAGGGAGAGAGAAAGAGGGAGAGAGAGTGAGAGAGAGAAAAAAAAGATGGTAACAGGGAAGAGAAAGATGAAGAAAGATAAATGAAAACAGAAATGGAAGAGAAAGGTAGAGGGGTAGGAGAGAGAAGGTAGGAGAGAAGAGGGAACGGGAGAGTGAGGCAGATCAAAATGGTGGAAAAAGATAGAGAGGAAAAAGGTGAGTGAGAAGGATGGGGAGAGAGAGAGGGAGATGTTGAGGGAATCAGAGTATGAACAACAAAAGAGGAAAAGAGAAATTATTACCGAGGCCAATATCAAACAGTGACTATAGTATTTTATCAGGTTACACTTAACTTTGCTCTTTCGAAGAAAAAAATACAGCTCTCTAAACAAAAAGCTATTTGACAGTTTGTGGCTCTTAGTTATGAAGTGGTAACTGAAACGAACTACAGTGAAACCTGTCTATAAAGACCACCCAAGGGAGACAAGTGGTCTTAATGTACAGGTGGTCTTTATGTACAGGTTTCTTTGGTACATGTTTCAATGAAACAACATTTTCAAGGGAAACAAAAAATTGGTTTTTGTAGACAGGTGGTCTTTCTATACAGGTGGTCACTCAAGAAATTTTGACTGTACATGTATGTGTAATCATTTAAAGTGACTTTATTCAACCTGCAATCAAAATAGTGCTGTAGCCGAACCGCCGAACCGAACGGAAGTTCGTCGAACATGGCACTTCCGAACCGAACCGAACGCAAAGGCCTGGTTCGGATATTCAGCAAAAAAAATGTAAACGTTTTTGCAAGCTAATAAACTTTTCATTTTGTACCTAATTTTCATGTTATGATTGCTGATATTATATTTACTTTTTTCCCATTTTCCGCCCTTGTGATTTATGCCTATCCAGTGGTGGGCGCAACTTCACTGGCGCCATTTAAATCCCAAATCCTGACCACGCTACGTCGCGATCGCAAGCCATAAACAAGAATACATGTGCGTGATCAAAACAAGTTCAGCTCAATTTGCTCAAACCCATTGAACAAAAATTAATATTTTAATTGTTACTATATCGGACAAATTTTACAATATAAATAATGAAATAAATATATTTTATAGTATGGTATTTATTTATTCAGGAAAAATAGGGATTTTATATTTTTCCTATTAAAAATAAAAACTTATAAAAAACAGTTCTTGGCGAGCCTGAAAGTCTCTATGGCACCTTTTATGACTCTAACATTAGACAACAACTGCCTCGGAAAATCTTTTAAAAATACCATTTATTGACAAATTGAAAACATGATTCTTTTAAAAATTGAAAATAAAACACGATTCAAGACGGAAATACGAATGTAAGTAGTATTTTTCTTCACAAATAATTACGTTTAGAGCAGTTTTTTAATGTGAAATTTGTGCTGGTCGGAAGCAGTGTGCAGAAGTCGTCCGTGCCGGTCGGGCCCGGCCTGCCCAGTCCCGACTGCCGTGGCTATAACGCTGCTTGCTATTAAATTACCGAACCCCGAACCGAACCAAGTTCGGGTGAAAAATTGCCGAACTCTGCCGAACCGAACCGAACACGAACATAGCGTCTGACTTACAGCACTAAATCAAAACAAATCATACCAGCCATCATTATAGATTTAACAAAAGCTGCTTTATGAGCAATTGTTGGAATTGCCAATTGAAGAAAACTTACCGATTCCATGGTGATGATAGATCATTGAGCTGACACCATCGAATCTGAATCCATCGAAATTAAACTCATCAACCCACCAACGCAGGTTAGAAAGAAGGAATCTTAATACTTCCCAGCTGAAAGGAGAAAAAGCAGAAAGTGATTTCAAAGCACTTTGTTGTAAAGTGACTCGGTAACATTGCCTCAGATTCTGAGGCAATCATAATTATAAACCTTTAGGTCAGTCAGGAATCCCATTACTTTTACAAGCCGATCACCTGTCTGATTATCAAGATATTTATGTTTGAAAATCAAAATCAAATGCGTTTTCCTAACGGTTTTTATAACACTACAGTCTATCGGGGATAATGGGTATGGTAAAATCGGTCACTCAAAGATTGTTTCTTTTTTGAGGCACTTCATGATCATTTTGAAGCGCAGTTTTTTTAGGGCTTCAATATTACACCATATCACGGACACTGATAACATGTAATGCTACGCATTTCAGATTAAACATTGTTAAACGATGCCTTTAAACCTCTTCCGAAGCTCTAACTTTGTCAACAGTAGTCATCAATGACTGTTGAATTGTTACATAATTTGACTTGCTATCCATGCACCATTCTTAAATTACGTATTAACCCTTACTGTACTGGGCTATTTTGAGCACCCACTGACTGGGGGGGGCCTGGGAGGCCCCCCCCTATGATCTCGGCCGTCGATTGTCCGATGAACACGAAAATTTGCATGTTTGTAGATATTTACGTAAGGAACAAGATGGTATAATTAGTTTTTTCCGAATATGCAAATTTTTGTCGTTAGCCTAATTAATTATGCAAAATGCGCTAATTTTATGCATTTTACCGAAAACGTGTCAAACTCCACTTTTTGAATGTTGAAACTCATTATTCATATGAAACTTCTTTTCTAACACAAAAAAGTTGTTTTAATGTAATTAATAATGATAATTTATGCAAATTTTGATGCGATTTTCATTTTTTTTTTTTTTTTTTTGATGACATGCGCATACTAATTGTTATGTAATGCCTTACAGGTGTATCCGATTTCGACGAAAATGGTATCAAAATGTGCGTAAGACTTGAGGGAAAAAAGTCATGAAACGACAATTCAAAATTCCAAGCGGTTGCGGCGCAATCTCCAAAAATGTCGAGGGGGGGGCCTCCCAGGCCCCCCCCCCCCCCAGTACAGTAAGGGTTAAATATTTGCCATAGGATTATGCTTCACATTGAGGGTACGTATCTCCTTTCAGAAATAAATGTGAGCACATTTTAGATTTCAAAACAATGTTCAACACTTGAATTTGGAGGAAACTGAAAAGTACTTGTTATAGTCATCTTATAGTAAAAGCGCCTATATGTACTATCCCATATATGCATATCTCCTAGTACCAGCTTGATAGTACTTACATGTAATTGTTATGGTCAAATATTCTACTATTACACGGCATGATAGTACTTATACAGTAGGCTTACAGTTGCACCATGTGAGAGAGGGGGAGGATTGGGGAGTCCTGAAAAGGACTGTCAGTAATCTTTCTTTCTTTAGTGTGTGTGTGTAGTCCCTGAAAAGAACTGTAATCTTTCTTGTGCTTATAGTCTAAAGAGAACTATAGCGCCGGTTGGAGAGGATGGGAAGTAGGAGGGGCTCAATGTTTCGAACAGGTTGACTATCCGTCATCAGTAAGTGATAGTACTTACTTGTTATAGTCAAATAGTCTACTATCCCACAGCATATGATGTCCCCTTGTGCCTGCATGGAAGTAACAGCTATCTGTGCCATCAAACTTGTTGAGACCGTCCAGGGTGTTGTTGGCTGCATGACTGTGAACAACGTCCAAGAAGACATAGATCCCCATCCCGTGGGCGGTGTCAACCAATCGCTTCAAAGCTTCTGGGTTACCACAGCGACTAGAGGGATTAAGAGTCAGAGAGGGATTAAGGGTCAGAGAGGGATTAAGAGTCAGAGAGTGAGAAGACATAGATCCCCATCCCGTGGGCCTAGTCAACCAATCGCTTCAGAGATTCTGGGTTACCACAGCGACTACGTACAGAGAGAGATTAAGAGTCAGAGAGGGATTAAGAGTCAGAGAGGGATTAAGAGTCAGAGAGTTAGAAGACATGGATCCCCATCCCAAGGGCAGTGTCAACCAATCGCTTCAGAGCTTCTGGGTTACCGCAGCGACTACGTACAGAGAGGGATTAAGAGTCAGAGAGAGATTAAGAGTCAGAGAGTGAGACATAGATCCCCATCCCATGGGCAGTGTCAACCATGGATCCCCATCCCGTGTTCATTGTCAACCAATCGCTTCAAAGCTTCTGGGTTACCACAGCGACTACGTACAGAGAGGGATAAAGAGTCAGAGAGTGAGGGTCAAGTTTGCTATTCATAAGGACCGCTATTCATAAGGACCGCCATTCATAAGGACCTCTATTCATAAGGACCATTATTCATAAGGACCACTATCCATAACATGTCACAAAATCAATAGCGATCCTTTATGAATAGCGGCCCATAGACAATTTACCTCGCTATTCATAAGGACCACTATTCATAATAGTATTGCTCTCGATATGACAATATTGGACTCATCTCCGATTCATTCAATATTGTCATAGCTCAAACAATATATTCATGCATCACACTCAAAGCCATCCAATATTACATAAATAATGTAGCGGTGTCGTGGTTGAGTGGATACTTCATCAGACTGTGGATCACAAGGTCTGTGGTTCAAGTCCCGCCGCAGCACTAATGTCCCCTGGAAAAACAATCATCTACATTTGCCGCACTCGACCAGGTGATGTTAATGGGTAACTGGCAGTATAAATTTTTTGAAATGCTAGAGCGCCATAATTTCAGCCATGCTAAAGCCAGTGTCATAAATGTGGAGCGCCAAGAGTGTCAAGTTTGACAGACATGAGAGCTATACAAGAACCCATTATTATTAATATTATCAATGAACTCAATTCAATCTAATGTACATTCGCCACACTCGACGGTAAAAATGATGAGAATGACATATTTAGTGATCTACATGTAGTTGTCGAATTGGGGAGAATTAAAAAATCAGCATACCTTGATGGAGCAAAGAAGGTGGTCACCTGATACCCAAAGCTAGCATAGAAAGCATGCTCCATTACAGCCATCAGTTGTATTGCATTATAGCCTGTAAAGAAAGAAGAAGTGTTGTGGACGAGTGGATAAGTCACGTGACTGCAGATCACAAGGTACAGGGTTCAAGTCCCAGCCCGAAACTAACGTTAGTCTACATTTGCCACTCTCCTCCAGGTGTTAAATGGGTACCTGGTAAAGTTTGCTCAGCATTGTGAGCGTCTGTAAAATGTGCAAACATTGTGTGCGAGCAAGGCTGAATCTCATGACTGGGGTAAGAATAAATCTTTTAATTAATTAATTAATTTATTTATTTATTTTGTTTTATTTACCCAGGGTAACCCCATACCTGGGTAAATAAAACAAAATAAATAAATAAATAAATGTTATACTCGGGGGCCCTGCAATAGTACAACACAAATTACAAACATGTAAATGAATACAGAACAACAAATATTACTAAGACATCAGACCTGCACGAAATATTAAACTTTTAATCGCTTCAAGACATCGTTGATGTATTAAGCACTATATAAATGCGAAATGTTATTATCATTATGAATTAATAAAAATATTAAGAAAATAATTATTACGTATCACACTATGATTTAGAGGGTAGTCTGTGTTTGAATATGAGAATCAGTTTCCCTGATGACGTCATCAACAGGAGATATTAAACAAGGTGACCCAACAGATTCTCCAGTGAGTCCAGTCTAGTTGTCTAGACTAGAATCACTGGAGCCTAGTCTAGTTCAATGGTTTACATGTATTGGTTCATGTATTTACGCTTGAAAGTCAAATTGGGTCACATCACAAAGGCTACAGCTGAAAATTACGGAGGTACAGACTGTCACATTGAGATCAACCCTTTGAGGACAGGGATTATTTTTAGGGCTTAATTGATCATGTGTTGTTCTTCAAATTGGCAACAATACTTTTCTTTTAATGCTGTGCTACATTTTGCATACCTTGACCCTTGATCCTCGGTAGTACATTATCTGTGAAGTGATCGTAGGACGCAACCTTCCCTTCCCAAGATGAGATCCCAACGTGAGCTTCATAGATCCTTAGTCCCTGACCGGTCCATTGAGGCTTTGGGTTTTTGGAACTATAGACCTGGTCCTGCGGTGGATCCCAGAAGACGCTCTGGTACAGCATTGTCTTCGGGTCTTGGACCGCGTAGCTAGCCCAGGCCAGGTTCCGGTCCACGATCTCGCCGGACTTTGTTTTGATACCGAGCTGTTAGGAAAAGATGATGTGAGTTTCTGTTACAAGCAAATGTATACAGACACGGCAACTAAATATCTAAATGGCCTTTACATATCAGAATACAGCCTTCATAAGGGCTCATTTACATTATATAACAAGATAAAATATAAAAAATAAAACATAAAACGGCAGCGGTTTACCAGGGATTGATTAAAGGCATCGTTTAACATTATGGTGTAATATTGAAGCCCTAAACAAATTCACTTCAAAATGATCAAGAATTGCCTCAAAAAAGGAAAAATGTTTGAGTGACTGGTTTTACCATACTCGTTTTCCCCAATAGACTGTAGTGTTAGGAAAACGCAAAATTTGGTTTCGATTTCCAATCATAAATATCTCGATAATCAGACAGGCGATCAGCTTGTAAAAGTCATGGGGTTCCTGAATGACCTAAAGCTTTATAATTATCATCGCAGCATGAGCTAAATCCAGGATTTTGTTTCAGAATCTGAGACAAAGTTACCGGATCCCTTTAAAGTCTTACCCTGACGATGCTGTTGTGTGGTATAGGTGAGGTGCCATCGGACTTACTGGGTAGCGTGATCTCCCACTTCCCAAAACCAGTGTTCTGAAGAGGATACTCCGTCCCTGACCAACCATCTGTATAAAATAAAGATGGGATTAAAATCTAGTTGAAGTATAGGCAATGCAAAGATTAACACTTTTTCTTGATGTTCTTTATCTTTCTCTCCCACTTCTTCTTCTTTCTTCTCCTTCTTTTCCTCCTCCCTCTTCTCCTCCTTCTTCTCCATGTCTTTTAGCTTCTTATTGTTATTCTTCTGCCTCCTTCAATTCTGAAGATTCTTCCACGTTAGATGTCTTTAGAAAAATCTTCAGTGCCTGTGAAAAGGCTGTAATAATTATCTATGGATGATAACTTAGAAGGGCACGACTTACTATTGCCCTCCCCCCCCCCCCTTCCGAATAAAACCCAAGTGGAATACTCAAAGTACACACGCGTATAAGAATTCCCCTTAAAGCCCCTCTAAAGTGTTGGGAGCCCCAAAAGCCCAAAAATTAAGGGCAAAATTTCACTTCAATTGGATGTCGTTTAAAACACACTCGTGCAAAGATTTCCCTACAATCAATTGTGTTTGAAGACATATTGATAAAAGAATGCATAGTTATAGTTTTCTGTTGTATTGCATTCTTTCACCAATATTCAATTTCAAAAATATTGCAGAGGGGCATTAAAGAGTGTATTTTGTTCTGAATAATAACGGGGCGTTGTGGCGTGCACCTGTAATCCAGCTAACAATGGAAGGTACAAACTGATTCAGCTGAAGACGCAGGTTCGAAACTGAGTCACGTCTTTTGGATGGTGATGTTAAAGGTCATTCCGCAGGCGTAAATAGTCATATCTGATTGATACAGGTCTTTAAAAAAAATTAAAATACACACACACACACTGAATGAATTCTGCCCCCTCCCCTCCCCCCCCCCCCCCCCCGACTCTCTCTCTCTCTCTCTCTCTCCTTCTCTTCCTCTCTCTCTCTTTGGAAATCCATGGATCTGCTCCTAATACTCACTGAATTCTCCTTTGATATAAACTGCTTCTGCTCCAGGTGCCCACTCCTTACACCACACCCCTCCATCGGCTGTCCTATGGAGACCATGCGACATATAGCCTTGTGTGAACACTCTCTCTCTCTCCCTCCCCCCCCCCCCCCCCTCTTGCACTCTTCACTTTCCCCTCTCTCTCTCTATTCTCTTTCTCACTCAAACTCTTTCCCCTCTCTATCTCTTCTCTTTCTCAATTTCTCTTTCCCCCCTCTCTCCCTCTCTCTCTCTCTCTCCCTTTGAAAATCCCTGGATCTGCTCCTAATACTCACTGAATTCTCCTTTGATATAAACCGCCTCTGCTCCTGGGGCCCACTCCTTACACCGGACCCCTCCATCGGCTGTCCTGTGAAGACCATGCGATATATAGCCTTGTGTGAACGCATCCAAGCCTCCCTCGTCCTGCTCGATAGAAGCCAAGATCTGCTCAAAACAGCCATACCTGTAGACAAAACACAAGGGTTAAAGGTCATTTATAAGCCCATCATCAAACATCCCTATCACTGATCATCCTGTAATTTTGACAATGCCGTGTACCGGAATGCCGTGTACCGGTAGACTAACCTTGCAATGTGTGGAACTGCAAGTTTTGCTCGTTTCCACAAGAAAGTTGTATGAAAATAATAATATGCTCATTATTTTGTTATCTTTATAACTTATTTTGTTATCTTTATAACTTATTTTGTTATCTTTATAACTGTATTTATTTGTACCAACAAAATAATGAAAAGAGGAAACCATTTTTTCATTTTGCTGCCTATTGTTTCATCTTATTTCCAAGAACCATTAAGGCGCTGAACGTATACAGGTTATGTGCTTCATGTTTGTCTGGCGTTGGTCTAACGTGCTCTGCGCGGGTCTGGCGTCCTTTTGGCGTCTACATTCATGCGTCGAGCTCAGCGCACACCTTTCAGCATGCACAAAAAATCCTGACGCACACAGCGAATGACGAATGCAGAGCGTTGGTCCAACGTTGGTCCAGCGCACTCAACGAACAAGTAACCAAGGATGACGCACCCATAACGGCTAACGCACAACAACGCACTGGCAAAAATTGCGAATTTTCGGTGCGCGGGCCGTGCGTCCCCTACATGTACATGTATGTGTGACCGAGCCTTAACTTGTAAAGTTGAAAAGAGGGAAAATGCTGACTTAAATAAATGATAATGATAAAAGAGCAAAGAATTTAGGAGTATCATGGGCACCAATTCAATGGAACGAGCCCCCTTCAGTACTAAAAGAGCCACTGTGAGAAGGCTCACAGGAGGCTCTTTTTTTTTTGGAAGAGCCCCCGTGGAAAAATAATAATTTGAGCCCTGTGGCTGTAGTATGTACCAAACGGATCCGGGCTAACTCGGACCAGCCCAGCTGCAAAAACTGTCATTTTTTGTCACTTTACCCTAACTCTAACCCTAACCCTAAACCTAAACATGCAAAAACTGACTGTTTTTGTACCTGGTCCGAGTCACACATAGGAGCATCACTATCCCGGCTGTGTAGTAAAAGCTGTGTTTTTGATTCTCAACATTTCAAACACCACTGTACAAAACTTAACTGATTTCACTAAAAATCGGTACTTTAGTGACAATTGACGACGTCTAAATAGCAGTAAAATACATTTTGTTCAACTTACTGATGTTAAGAAGAATAATTAAAAAATTAAAATTGTAAGTCTAGTGTCAAACTTTGCTTACAGCTGCATCGACATGATTGTGTACAGTCTATGCGATATTGTGTGGTGTGTGTATTTGTGTATAGACTTCTAGGTCCCTGCCTCACAGCATGTATGCAGTGCTAGAGGTCAATACGCATTAGCATTGACTCTCTATGCTTTGCTGGAGTGGGTCCGAGTTAGCCCGACTCCGTACGAAACATAACGAAACCATGACAATTATTTGAACAGTTGATGAAGATTTAGTTGATTTTTGGTATGTTTCAGTAGGGTATCTCCACACCAGAGTTACTGGTCAAAGTCTGGATATGATTCTGAAATAGCGCCCTCCCCCCCCCCCTCGCCTCTCTGACCAGTAGGGGCGCTGGTCCGAGAATAAGGATCGTCTTCATAAACGAGGATCGTCTTCGTAAACACGGACCGATGCGTCCTCAAAAATAAGGACCGTCTGCATTTTTGCAGACGTTTCATATTTTTGATCGGTGCATTGGTGATGCAAAAAACGGATTCTGCAATGATTTTCTTGATGCATTTTACATTGACATTGTACAGAGACTTTCACATTATAAGCAATAAATCCTTGGGAAGACGGACAACCCATAAAAGTAGACGGTGAACTAGGGTTATTTTCCCCGGGGAATCCATTTTTGGCATCGCCAGCAGGCCGTTCTGTAACATGAAACCCCCAGAGCGCCGATGAAAAAAAACGTCCTCAAAAATGCAGACAACCCTTATTTTTGAGGACGCATTTTGTCCTCGTTTATGATGATATCCTTGTTTATGAGGACGATCCTCATTCTTGGACCAGCGCCCCTACTGCTGACTGACTCTATTCATCTACTTCTACTTCTATTCTACTACTTGTCAAAGCCTGTTCAGCATCTAGACAAGGGTGATCTTTTGCCGATGGTGGACGGCTTGTGTAAATTTGTGCCTAAATATATACATGTTTATGGTGCAAGTAAAATGCTAAAAATCATAAAAATCATAAAAAATAATGATGATGCTGTGATTATTCACAGCTGATGGCTTCCTTGAACTGCTTCAATGTGGGCAGTTCGATGATATTTGTAGGAAGCTCATCCCAGTCTTTCATGGTGCGAGGAAAGAAGCTGTATTTGTAAGAATCGGAGGATGTACCAAGTCTGGTGAAACGAAGGTGATGTTGACTCCTTAGTTGTAGCTCTGTCATCCTTCTTTTTCTCTTTCTCTCTCTCTGCCTCTGGTCCAGAAACTCACATCATTATCACTGATTATCAATGTCATGTGAAAGGTCACTCACATGATGGAAGAACACCGTGACTGACGCCATAAAGCAATTTCTCACACGTTGCTTTAGCCTTTGCAACAATGGCAAAGCAAAGGAGGCGAGCGCAAGCTAGCTACAATTACTACGACGGACTGCGCGCCGAGTATGCCTATGTGGCTGGCCTGGGATTACGCCTGACCTGGGTTGACTTGCTGGAAAGACCGAGGGGAAGAGCGACATCGAATTTCTCCAAAATCATGCCAATGGTTCCAACATATGAATGGATTGTAAACTGGCACATACCTCCTTTTCAGCTCTCTTTGATGATTTGACAGATACGGATCCGCATCAAGCAATTTCGAGAATTGCGGTATGATTACGTCGTCCGCTTTCACAAGCATTCCGTTGACAGCCATCTTTACGTTGAGCATGCAGGCTGAACGTGACTAGCCCAATTTGGCGGAAAATACGCCCGCACGACCAAATTTCTCGCCGTAACAAAAAGGAGTGGGGGGGGGGGGGGGCGTTATTTTTTTATGCGGCACAGATTGGGGCTTTCTTTTAAAAGGGGTCTTGATTTACAGACTAATACTGGTCGTGTGCGTACTAGACAGTATAAGTAGTAGAGGTCTGTTTTTAATAGTGTTACATGTAATCTACTACCGCATGGAAAATCATTACATCAACAATTAAAATCAAATTGGAAATCTGAAGAGGAGGCAGCACGTCAATAAGGAGAACATCACAATAATTAGTCAATAAAACTTAACTAACTTAAACGAAAAAGAATGTTATCTAAACACGTAGTTCGCGATGGATATACAAACTTCTTCGCAGCGCTAATGCGCTAGCGAACATGAATAGTCTCACGTACGTGCAGACACTATTCAGAAGGGAAAGAACGTACTTCCCATAGGTTTAACACGCGCCATGCCCCAATCTGTGCCGCATAAAAAAATAACGGGGGGGGGGGGGGGGGGGGGTAGTCCAGAATCTGTCCCTCTCGCGGCCCGCGTCGTATAGAAGGTCTGTCGGTCGCTGAGGTCCTATAGGGCCTAGGCCCTGCCCCAAGTGGCGGATCCAGGGGGGGGGGCCCCCCCCCCCCCCTTGAGAAAAAAAATCATGTAAAATCACGTGATTTTTACGATTTTGGGGGGTTGGGCCCCCCCCCCCCTGGCGCTCAAGGGGGGGGGGGTGCAAATTGAAAAAAATTTGAGGATCAAAAAAAAAAATGTGCTCACTACCCCCCGTTCGATACCCAGTTACTGCATCTTTTTTTAAACCTCTGAAGAAAAAAAGACTGATGTTAAAACCATTTTCATTAAGTACATATTTATTGCTATTCTTTTTGGGGGAGGGAGCCTGATGACTGGCGCAGCTAGCTGACGACTGGCAGCGCCATTTGTCAGCTAGCTGCGCCATTCGTGGAAATGGGCGCTTCTCGTACCTGAAAAGGGGAATTTACTAGAGATTTAAAAAGGCACTCATGAGAATAGAAAATGGACACTATTTGCAAAGGAAAATGGGAACCCGTCAAAGGAAAAGGGGTACGTGTCAAAATAAAAGGATCACTCATCAGAGGTGGAAAGGGGAGGGGGCAAAAACAAATATAATATGGGCACTTGTCAAAGTAAAAGGGGCACTTTACCTATGTAAAAAGAGGCACTTCTTACAAAGCTAAAGGGGCAGTTTTCCTATGTAAAAAGGGGTACTTTGGGGGTACTTGAAAAGTGGGGGGGGGGGGGGGCACTGTGCCCCCCTGTCCCCCGGCCCAACCTGAATTTTTCGCCTGGCGTCCTAATGATCACGCCATCATCGGCTGGTAGCAAGTAAGTAGGGAGAGGTAGCGTTGGTGTGGGGGAGGTCAAAATTAATTAGGCCAGATTCTGGACTAGGGGGGGGGGGGTCTATTATATCAGTGGTTGGTACGGAAAAACTCCTTGTGAATATTATTTTTCTTATAAAAAGTAACATTTGTATTCTAGTTCCCTTTCTAGTACTTCCAGCCCGACTTCCAGCCAGTTGATCCGAGCCTCCATGGGGACTGCCCGTGCATGGGCGTGGCACTAATTGGTTAACCCTGGGTTTTGAGGAGGAGGAGGAGAAGAATTGGAAGAATTAGAAGGGGGAAGAAGGAGAAGAATATTGGTAGACCCTGTGTTTTGAGGATGAGGATTGAGGTGGAGGAGGAGGAGAAGGAGGAGGAGGAGAAGAAGAATTTGAAGAATATAAAGGAGGAAGTAGGAGAAGAATAAGAAGGAAGTGTTGAACCCTGCATTATCTAGTTCATCTAGATTTGAATCCCATCTTTATTTTGTAGAGACGGTTGGTCAGGGACGGAGCATCCTCTAGCTCAGGCTCCAGGATACTGGTTTGGGGAGATCCGGGGGGCGTTTCACAAAACTTGTCATCAGTGACAAATGACAGATTTTGTTATAAGCTACTGAAATCCTTGCTTCTGATTGGTTATCAGCAGATTTGTCACTGATTTTTGTCATTTGTCATTGAAAAACGGCTTTGTGAAACGCCCCCAGTTTAGCCAGTAATTAAGTCTTATGGAATATCACCCATTATATTCACGAAACAGCTGGCCTAGACAGGGGAAAAGAGAGGGGAAAGAGAGAGAGAAAGAAGAGAGAGGGGAGAAAGAGAGGGAGAGAGGGAGAGAGAGAAGAGAGAGAGAGAGAGAAGAGAGAGAGAGAGAGAGAGGGGGAAAGAGAAAGAGAAGAGAGAAAGAGAGAGAGAGAGAGAGAGAGAGAGAGAGAGAGAGTGGGGGGGGGGGGGGGGGGGGGGGGGGGGGGGGGGGGGGGGGGGGGGGGGAGAAATTACCCGTTTGCGTTTGCTCTCAAATTCTAAATATATTTCAATTTCATGCATTTCATTTCCCTTGGTTTGAAAAGTGGTATTTGTATTTATATATATTTCCCAACTGTCTCGAAGTAGTTGTCCCAATTCTATTAATTTTCCTATTGAACAATGTTAAAACTGCTTGTCCTCCTAGACAACAAGAAAGAGCCTTTGCCAAATGGAATAGACTACATCATTAGATTTGAATATATACATTTTTTGTATTTTGATACAATTACCTCTCTCTCTCTCTCTCTCTCTCTCTCAAGTTCTCTCTATTCTTTCCCTTCTTTCTTTCTCTTTCTTAATCCCCTCTCTTTTTTTCTCTCTTTTTCTCTTTCTTATCTCACCTCCTTCCTTTCTCACCCTTTTCTCTCCCCCCCCGCTCTCTCGCTCTCTCTCTCCCCCCCCCCTCATTTTTCTTTCTCTCTTTTTTAATCCCCTCTCTTCTTTCTCTTTCTTATATCAATTTCTCTCATTCTCTTCTCTTTCCCCTCCCTCTCTTTTCCCTCTCTCTTCTTTCTTTCTCTCTCTCTCTCTCTCTGTCTACCTCTCTCCCTCTTTCTCTCTCACTCACCCTCCCTCTCTCTCTCTCTCTCTCTCTCTTTCTCTCTCTCTCTCTCCCCCTCTCTCTCTCTCTCTCTAACCTCGTTTTTTCCCTCCCTATTCTCTTACTTCTTTATCGCATATTTTTTGATTTCGGTATGAATATTGACAAATACACAAATAAGGACGCGACGAATATTGGAATCATGATTAGCGTCCTGTCTACCAGTATAATTGTATTACAGAAAACAGTCTTATGTCTGTCATGGTTAATCCCCAAAAATATATCACAACATATTATCATATTAATATATTACAGGGGATGAGTTATACAAATATAAACTTCATAAAAGGCAACAAATACTAAACAAGTTCGGAGGAAACTTGACACTATTTGGGTGATGCGAGAGAATTTTTGTTTTTTCTTCCACCGACTCCTTTCAGTAATATTGTGTAAAAAAGGTAAACGATTTACATGTATTGGGCGATTCAGTGCAATGTGTCCCATACCACAAACGACATTTATTTTATCTATATGTTTCATCAATCAATGAAAATCTCTTGATATGTTTTTGACGTACTAACTGGAGTGATATAGCAGAAAACACAATTATTCAACGGTTATATTAATAGCTTCTTGATTTTGGGATGATTTATGTGAAGAAGAAAAAAACATTTCTCGCATTATGGGTACATTACACGGAATCGCCCCTCATAATAACCGAAGTTCCCGGGAACTGGTTCCAAACAAAAGAACCTGCGCATGAGGTTCGCCGTCAAATCATCCGAGCAACGGGCTGCCTTTGGAGCAGGCAAACTGCCGCTGGTAATTATCACCACGCCATTGTTTAGCAGAAAATTGTTTGGGTCCATCAGCCTTGACAACTTGGCCAGTATGACGTCACACATTAATTCATTTAAACGTAATATCATTTATCTACGTAAAGATGTACACTAACAATACCGGGCATGTACCCAGAATATACAAACATAATCTTATGTTACAAAATTTAACAGAAATCAACCAATTTTATTCTTACTAAGTACAGCTTTGCATGAGAATACATATTGTGTATAATCTGTTGATAATTATATAACAGTTTACAAGCAGTGGAACTTACTTGATTTATATAGTATTTGTTTTACCATGGATTTAATACGGATGGACATTCAACGTGATTCTTTCTTTGATCCAACATAGTCGCCGCCTTTTGATTATGTGCATCTTAATGAGAACATTCAGCTGTTTTAACAATAACGACTGCGTAAGCATTTTCGCTCATTGACAAAGGAGCAGTTTCCCTCTCTTGGGTTTTGTTTGGATGGTGTGCTCTGTAAGAGTGTGTCTTAAATAAAAGCATTATCAATGGGGAGCAGCAAAGTTGAAAAGCAGACGATTTTGGTGATATGAAATGTATTATTACTGATTCGCAAACTTTCGCACACACCTATGACCTTATAAAACAATTAGAAGGCCATGATCTGTATCAGCCCTGTGTGTTGTAACTCTGGAATATTATGAGGAAACAGGGGAATTGGGATTTTAAATCACAACCAACCAATCTAAAAATAACCTCTATCTGGTAATATCAACATGTTTTTAAAAAAAATACATGTACAGTACACGGAACAACAATTTCCGATTATAAGCCAGAACTGCACATCTATTTTCCATGATTTAGGTGAGTAATTATCTTCTGCGCATGTAGATTAACATGTGTAAAATCACTATCTTGATCATGTCCCGGCTTTTTGCCGGCGACCATCATGAGACCAAAGGGAAGAAATATGTACGGAATGTTATTGAGACGACATTGATGGAGACAATCAAAATGAATTCGTTAAGAAAACGATGAATGTCCATCCGTATTAAGTCCATGGTTTTACCAAAGATAAAATAGATTAACAAAATTTGTGATGAGAAAAAAAAGCATATAAACAAATCTTAGAAATACTAGTACAGTGCAGCTATTTACATTTTATGACAGTGCATATTGTATTGTTTCTTGGATAACAAAACTGACACAAAATTGAATTGAA